CAAAATGCATTTGTGGTATCAGATTATGCAGAAGTCCCTTGGGAAGCCAGATGTAAATTCTCCCTGAGCATAGTGGGTACCCAGATGGCTGTTTGTCTGTGCACTTTACAGTCTCGATATGGGATCTGCCCAAAATGCTGCCCATAGGGTAAGGAAGGTTGAGATGAGCTCTCCACTCGTTCCTGTGCCTGTTGATAGAGGCTTTGCTGCTCTGTCTCAGCTGCTGTTCGAACAAAGGATCGCCAAACTTGGGATTCTATCACCTGAATAGCCTCCCATCTCTCCAGTGGTTTTCCCTTTTTTACCTGTCTCCCATGCAGCTCCAGTTGCTAGTACGAAGTCTGGCCATGGCTGCACCACTCGGCTGTCTCCACTGCTTCCCAGTGTCCTCATGTCCCCAGCAATTTCTGCCACTGACCTATCCACAGCTGTCACCCAGCATTGTGGCCTGTCTCTCCCCCACTAATTCTTCTCTGCCCAATTTCACATATCTACCCTATTCCATCATCTTGGATCTCATTTTTTAAGAGTTACTTTCTCTTGAAAGTCAGTTAGATGGAGGGACAGAGATCTTAATCTGCTGGTTCACTCTTCAAATGTCTGCTAGATTTAGAGCTTAGCTGGTCCAACGCTGGGAGCCAGAAGCTTCTTTTCACTCTCCCACATGAGTGTAGAGGCCCAAGCCTGTGCCATTCTCCAGTGTTTTCCTAGGCCATACAAAGAGAGCTGGATCAGAAGCCAGGACTGAAACTGGCACCCTGTAGGGATGCTGGCATCTCAGGAAACTTAGCATTGCTATACCACCATACCAGCCCCATACCATTTTTAGGACCCTTTGGGCTAGCATTTAGTACAGAGACTATGTCTTAGTATGCCCTAATAACCATATCAGTTTCTCAGTTCAGCTTCCAGCTCTGTTCTCAATTCCAGCTTCCTGGTAGCGTGTACCTTAGGAGGTAGCAAGTGATAGCTCAACTTCTTGGGTCCTTGACACTCACATAGGAGCCTGGAACTCGACCCATGTCTCCTGACTTCAGCCTAACTGGGCTATGACTGTTGTCATCTAGGGAGTGAATTAGCAGAGGGGAGAGAGATTCTCTCTCTCTGAGTGTGTGTGTAATATATAATATGTTGTAGAATCAGTCTGAGACTGTTACTGTCCTCTGACCATGTAACAGAGAAAATAGTTAAAGAAAAATTCATCCCCATTAGATATAAGTGTGATTTTAAGAACAGATTTCTGGAAATCTGATACCTTCAGTTTTTTTGTTTGTTTTTATTTGAAAGGAAGTTGCAGAGATGACAGAGAGATCTTCCATCCACTCCCCAAGTGGCTGCAGTGGCCAGAGCTGAGCCAACATGAAACCAGGAGTCTCCTCCCCATCTCCCATGTGGGTACAGGGCCCCCAAGGACTTGAGCCATCCCTTGCTGCCTTCTGAGGCCAGAAACAGGAAGCAGGATCAGAAGTACAGCAGCCAGGATAGAGGAATAGCCACAGTGTGAATCGGCACCTGTGTGTGATGCTATTGGTGCAGGTAAACATGAAGCCCTCTTTGCCATTGCACCAGCCCCTATCATTTCATTCTTAAGTCCATTTTTTCAGATAAAGACACAAACTCAAAGTAGTTGACATGTGAACATAAATAACTAATAAAATGATATAGTCAGGGTATGTGCCCAGACAGCTGAGTTCTTAACCACTCTGCCTGCTTCCTCATTACAGAGCTAAAATTGAGAGCTGCTTCTTCTCTGGGGGAGAATTTCCAAGGTTACAGGTGTGGAGTGATGCAGGCAAGGAGGTTCAGATCTGGACATCGGCAAATTAAGTTGGATTCCTGTAATAGGATTGTTTTCTAACACATGGCTTAACAACTGCTCATGAATAATAAATTATATCAACTGTTTCACCACACCGAAGGCCTTCCAGAACTTTCTGTAAATTCATTTTAGAACAACTGAAAGGAGATTTGCAGCTTCATCAGCTCTGTGCATCAGGAAAGAACAGAACAAAGGGACTTGGAGTTTGGAAATGTTCAGGAAGTGATCCCAAGACTAAGGAGAGGCTCGCTGTAATCCAGGGTGTACTTTGTTGCTATTTCTGACCTCATTTGGGGCAAATGTGACTGAGTGGCCTGCATCCTGGTCATTTGGCTGACAAGCCACCTAAAGGATGACCAATTTCCTGTTATAAGAAATGGTCCAGTTAGATCCATAACCCATATCACTATGGCTTGAATGTGCAGCTTTGCCCCTGGTGTAGCAGTGTGGGGGGTAGCGGTTGCTGTGAGATTGAGTCACAGAGCACTGCCCTTCTGAATGGATCAGCGTCATCTTAGCAGCAGGCTAGTTACCTTGGGGGTCGGAAAAGCACACCTAGCCTTCTCTTGCTCTCTTCCTCGTGGTCTTCCATCACCCTCTAACACAAAGGCCCTCGCTCTCTGCTTGCACTGTCATCATGTACCTCCCAACCTCTAGAACTGTAAGAACTTTTTTCTTTACAAATTCCCCAGGGTGTGATAGCCCATTATAACTCTACAAAAAGCACTAAACCACCTATGCTAGGACTTTGGGTGTTCTAAAATAAGATTTCATTCCTGCCTTGGGCTCCACAGTGAGTCTTGTGTCATACCAGGAGATATCTCTAGGCCCGTTCCTAGTGGTCTAGCTCCTGACACGAGGCAGTGACCTACACTGTCTTGTCAGGAGACCTCTTCCTGGCACAGTTTGTACCTTGGGAACTAAATCACATTCTGTTCTTTGATCCGTCATGGAATTAAAGGAGGAAAACTCCATCCTTTTAGATTGTAATGCTCTTGCTTCTCTAGATTAGCAAAACTAAGAAAGCATACCACATTTTTGTTGGCATCCTAAGGACTTCCGGTCTGACCAAGCAGAGGCACACGTTGCCTAATTCACCACTCGCTGTACTCACTGTACTGTCTCTATATGCATGCATGATTTGTCCTAGCCCCCATGGATTTAGGCTGCACCTCTCTGGTTTGTCTTGTGGATGTGTGTGATCAACAAAGGAAGATGACTTGATGGGCTTGGTTTTATTTCATCTCTGAAATGGAAATATTATTTGCCTTTGGACATGTTTGCTGTAAAAATGAAGAGATGGAGGTGAATGAACTAGATACTTACACAGCCTCTCGAACAGAAGGGCTGCATCCTGGAAGCGCAGGCAGCTGAGGAATCCAGACTCAACTGGGTCTGCTAGGTGCCCAGGACAGGCCACTTGCTGCCTCAGGCACTCGGTGAAAACCTGGACGATGAAGGGTAAAGGGTGATGTGGATATAGTTCAGAGCCAGCAGCTGGACCATTTCCCTTTGCTCGCCCTTAGTCTCTGGGACAGGCGTTCTGCTGGCTTGGACTGTGCTGCTGCAGAGTAAAAGCCCCTTTGACGCAGGCTCCATGAGATGCTGTGACTGACCTGCAAGCCGGGGAGTCCCTTACTCTGTGGATTGATAGCCTGAATTAGGTGGGATGCAGCCATGTAGATTGGTCTCCAGGGATCCCTGTTGATGATCAGGGGCCAATTCTTTGCAGAAAGTTTTTAGCTGAGCAAAGGAATGGTCCTGAGCCTTCGCTGTGACACTTAATATGTGCATACCTTCAGTTGGCTCACACCCTGCACCTGGCAAGGCTCACACACACACTGGGAAGGCAGGCACCCCTCCAAAGCGTCCTGGCAATCCTCAGAATTCCAGTCGCACCTTTTCTCCATTACTTAAACCTGGACACCTGCCTGTCCTTGACACTGTACAATGAATGCACCAAACTTTGTTGCTGTTCTTTCGTGTGTCAGGATTAATTTCTTTTCCCAGTGCCCTGCCTCAACTTTGCCTACGTGTCCTTATTTTCAAGTTGATTAATTCTTCCTTCTAGAAAGATGTTTGAAGATGAGGAGGCAAAGGAAATGTTCCAAGTATTATTTTATGTAGAACTTAAACATAAATAATCATCTGTTAAAGGTGAAGTTTCTTAGGGGAATTATTTATACATTTTATATACTGAATTTGACACATAGCGTATGTTCTTTTGTGAGAATTCAAGAGTTGTTTTTTTTCTGCATTGTATCACATGACTTTCTCCTGACTGGTAAGTGTCCAAGGATGTCTTCTGTGTATTTTTAAAGCATGTATATGTGTCTTACCAGGATTTAACTTACTTTAATAAGTGACTTGCTGTCCAGATTGTCAAAGGAAAGGCAAGGAAAATTTTAAATAGAACAACCTTTTGGTGTGTGTGTCATACATTTTTAATATGTAAACTTGGCTCCCCTGAACTTTTTGAAAGTACTGCCTGCCACCCCACTCTCCTTCCTGGTTAATACTGTTTTTGAGTATGTTTGGCTATTCAAAAATCTGTCTTTATGCACTGCCTTCAAGGAGCCAACAACATGGACGTCTAGCTTACAGAAGCGCACCTGTTGCCAAGTAGCCTGAGCCATACTGAATACTAGGAGGAACTGAGTCCATGTCAAGGAGTGTAGCACACCCAGCAGCTAGCGGACTAAGGGATGTGATGACTTGCTATAAAATGTGATGTTTGAACTCAGAATTGGATTTAAATTTCTGGCTCAGTATTTGCCACAGTTTAAGTTACAGGGAAAAGCTCTGCCCCTCCCTGCCAAGCCAAGAGACCTGGCCTCTAGCTGTGGCTTTGAGGCAGATTGCTGTGTCACCTTGGGGGCCTTGGCCAATCAATGTGTTCCTGGGTAAAACGAGAGGGAGATGACCCAGTGGACCTTTGTTCCCAGCCCCGCCCTGGTTCTGTGCTGCTCTGGCAGGAGGTGGCGGGGAGGGGCTTGCCAACCTGAGGCTGCTCTGTGCAGGTTATCCACAGGGCTGGCTTTAGATCCCAGGACATGGCTGCGTGTTGTGATCCCTGTGCTGCCACCTTGACATGCCAGCCTTGACATGCCAGCAGGGAGGGGCAGCAGAAGCCTCCACAGTGCAAGCCCCTCCCATCAGCCCTGCACTCTTTGCCTTTCAGATGCCTGGAACAGAGGAGGCCCAAGACCCATGCGGCCCGGAGGGCTCCAAGAGCAACTCGGAAAGCCCCAAGCAGGGTGGTGGTAAGACAAAACCCAAGAGCCGCCTCTCAGGTGAGTGGGAGCCCCTGCCAGGGGCAACACTGCTGCAAACAACCTCCTAGCCTTGAAGGAGATGAACTCACTTGTTTCCTTAAGCCCTCAAGGTCGTACTTTCCTCCCAGGGTATGGGCCTTGGGCTGGGGTAACAAATGCATTAGTCTGGCTGCTCACATGAACTTCTCGTTGAATCATAGCCAGGTGCGCATCTCTGCTGGAAGTCTCTTGAGGGTTAGGTTTACTGGTCTCTTGGGGGTTTCAGGTGCTCTTTCTGTGAGTGATGGGTCTGTGTGTCTTGGTGAACAGGCTTCTGCTTAGGCCCTTCAGCCATCAAGAATGACCAAGTGGCACTCTCATGTTCATCACACTGCAAACCTATAACCGACTAGACAGGAGAAGAGAGACACTACAGCCATAGGGATGAGACTCCATGTTCTATTCAAAAGGCTTTCAACAGCCTCATGGAAAACAGAATAAATGGAAAGTTATGTTGGTGCCCAAAAAGGTTGAGATCCATGCATGATTTTTTCAAACAGACCTTTTCCATGAAACTTTTTTAAAATCATTGATAGCATGTATTTTAGCATTTGTGTACCAAAATTCATGCATCTTTTTTTAAAAAAAACTGTTGTATATTTTCACTTCATTGAAAAGACAGGAAGAGGGACATGACCTCTATGCTCTGGTTCACTCTGTGAATGCCCACCCCCTCTGTCTAGGGCCAGTATTGGAGCCATTGCTGTCTATGTGCGTTAGTGGGAAGCTGATTGGAAGTAAGATGGCAGGAACTCCAGGCAGGTGCATCAGTCTGAAATGCCAGCATCCCGGGGGGGGGGGGGGGGTGAGACTTAGCTGCTGCACCAAACATCTGCGCCGTAATTTCACTTCCACTAAACATTTCAAGGTGCTCTCCCACTTTGTGGGCCTTTGCTTCTGGGTACCTGGCATATGCCCAGAGACATCAAGCCAACACTGAACACAAAGGCTGTGGGCAGCAACCACAGCAACTAATGTTGTAGGGATTGAGAGCACTGGCTGGCTCAGAGGGTGCCCCCTCACTCCACTCTCATCCAGGGTTAGCCTGGGTTCCTGTGGTCCTGTGTGTGAGAATACAGCCAGGAGACATTGGTAGAGGTAACCAACAGAGCAGGCTCCAAAGAAGCCAGGATGGGGTAGGGCTGTGGCTCTAGGACGGTCTCCTGGTGCGTGATGAAATGAGGCTCAGCATTGCGATGATGCAGTGGGCATGCTGAGCGTGCAGCCACGTGAAGGAGTGTGAAAAATGCTGAGATCAGGGCGGTACACATGGCTTGGGTGTCAGCAGGACTCAGGCCCTATCCCTTACTGACTCCCTGCCTTGCCCACATCGGGTCCTAGACAAAGGACAAATTACATTTGATACCTGCCCTGGTAAGAAGATACCGGCTGGGTTCCTTTTTTTTTTTTTTTTTAATCTATTTATTACTGTATGGCACAGCTTTGCCCCTGCATTTCAAACGAAATGAAGACATGTTTGTGGGTGTCTAGAAGTGGCATGGACTCTGGCTCTGTGCCTGCTGGCTGATGCAGCAGTGGGTCCTTGCCCCCCCAAGCCTGACATCTGGAACAGCAAGACAAGGAAGGAGTTTGAAGCCTGGCAGAGCCAGGTTTAGCCCTACAGCTCCTGCTTGACTCTGTGACCTTGACCTCATAACGTTTTGTTTGTATGTTTGAAGACTTAGTTATTTGAAAGGCAGATCTTATAGAGGAGGTGAGAGCTTCTCCATCCACTGATTCTCCCCTACTCACCTCCCGCCCCGAGATGGCTGTTAACAGCTGGAGCTGAACCAGTCCTAAGCAGGAGCCAGGAGATTCCTCCAGGTCTCCCATGTAGGTGCAGGATTCCAAGGCGTTGGCCCATCCTCCACTGCTTTCTCGAGCCACATAAGCAGAGACCCAGATTAGAAGTAAAGCAGTTGAGTCTCAACTGGCAGTATGGGATGCTGGCACCACAGTCTGAGGCTTAGCGTGCTACACCTCGATGCCAGCCCTAGGCTAGGTTTAACGTTTCCAAACTTCTACCTCACCTGAATTTAACAAGACCATGATGTGTCTACTATGTTGCAGAGTTGGATGACGTCTTCTGCACACCTCCCAGGGAGGGTCCTAGAGCTGAGGAAATGCAGGGACCTTTGAAACCAGCGTGGCCACATTCCTCATTTTATAGATAGGACTGGAGAGGCCCAGAGTGCTAGGAGCCAGGAAAAAGGTCAGCACCCCAGACAGTTCATTGTCCCTTTGGCTTCCTGGGAAATCTTTTTAAATAATTACTTATTGCAAAGACAGAGCGCCACATAGACAAGGAGGGACAGAGACCTTCCATCCACTCATTCACTCCCCAAATGGCCATAATGACCAGGGCTGGCCAGGAGTCAGAAGCTTCTGGGCCTGCTGGTTGGGTTGCAGAGGCCCTCCTCTGCTTTTCCAAGTGCATTAGCAGGAAGCTGGTCAGAAGTGGAGTAGCTGGGACTCAAACTAGCACCCATATGGTGCCACAGGCAGTGGTTTTTACCCACTATAACACAATGCCCCCTGCCTACTCCCTGCCTCTACCAGGGATCTCAAAGATTTCTCTTCCTCAGTCTGGAGTTTTCTAGCTGTAGGTATAAGAGGGGAGGTACGATTGGGGAACCTCCAAGACATGGGGCTTTCTATTCATTTGGAATCGGCAGCACATTCAGTTGAGCAGTAAATGCAGGGCTGGCTACTACGTGCTCTAGGTGGGTGCCACCCTCTCCAGTGCTTTGCCCCAACCTGAGCCATCACAATGACACGTAGAATGAGGAAGAAGCATACTGGGTAGACCTGCTCAATGATTCTCATGGGAAACATGACCTAGACCAGTAACTTGATTTCTCTGGGCCTCAGATTTTTTGCCTGCAAAATGAGAATTATGGTCAACTTTTATTCTTCCAATAAATGTGAGTGCCTACTAAGTGCTCAGCCTGGTTGGTTAGATGGAGCTAAGAGAATGCCTTTTTTTTGTTGTTGTTACCATTAACAACAGGCACATTATCCTTTTCATGCAGGCTATTCTCATGTTGTCCCCTCTTAAAAGGGGAAGATGATTGAATGGGATGAGACAGGAACGCCTTCTCTTGTATGAAGCAATGCGCAGGCATACCCAGAGCTGGTCTCCATAAGGCACACACAAGACTGGAAGATTTGCCATCCCTCTGGGGTGTGGTGCTTGGCCAAGGCATCCAGAGAATGCACAATTAGAGGCGTCAGCAGCATTGGCAGAATTTGGTAGAATAGCAGGGGACTGAAAAGTGTTCCAGACTTGGGACAATGTGAAGGAGTAAACATCAGTATCCATGGGAAACGTTGATTATAGTTTCTGGCAACTGGTTTTCCACCTCAGCTCTTTGAATGATCCAGTATAGTCTGGCAGTAACAGTATCTCAAGCCAGCCGAGTTTGTCAGTCACTGGGGAATGGACATAGCGGGACCAGGGTGGGAGGGGATGGTGCAGGCAGAGTTGGATGAAGCCCCAGGGAATTCAAGACTGCTTCAAAAAGTCAGTGGAGGGTTGCTGCAGTGTGGGAGGTTAAGCTGCTGCTGACCCCTGCTACAAAGTATTAATCTGGCTTCCTGCTTTTTACCTGGGAAGGCACCATCCAGGTACTTGCTCCTGCCACTCATGTAGGAGACCCAGCAGAATTGCTGGCTCTTGGCTTCAGCAAGGCACAGCCCCAGCCATTGTGGCCATCTGGGACATGAACCAACAGATGGAAAATTCCTTCCTCCCTCTGCTCCCTTTCTTCTCCCAGTTCTTCTCCAACGCATGTGTGTGCTAACACACAGCAAACACACTTTCTCATTCCTTCATTCAAATAGAGGAATCTTTAAGGAAGAAAAAGTCCATGCATAGTTTTTTTTTAATGATATATATGCATGAATTTTATACTTTTTGAACTAAAATAAGCTTATCTTTTAATCCCATTTTCTGTGAGCTTTTTGAAGTACCCTCAAATTTATAGGTTTCCGCAAAGAGGAGCAGGAGATGAACCCCCTTCTAGGGGCCTCATCAAACAAGAGCCCCAGATTGCTGGAGCGGGCTGGTGGGAGATAAGGCTGGGAGACTAATCCGGATATGTGATAAAGAGACTTAAGGAACTGTGCCTTGATTCAGTCCTGGGAAATGTGCTGGTTCATTCTAAAGACATATACATACAAGGGATTAGAACATGATTGGTGTTTAATTTGTCCTGTAAATCTGGATCTTTCTCATCTTCTAACATTAGCACCATTGGAGCTCATGAGGTGGTGTAGTCTGTCAGTACTACTGAAGGTGGTTTCTCTCCTGTTGACAAGTGCCCCTGGTGGGCTCAAAGCGAATTTTCTTACAAATCTTTTTCAGATGGGCAAGCATGCCAAAAGAAATGAATCTGCTTATGAATTAGAAAGTGATGCATTATTAAAAAGGGCCTTCTATAAAGAGGTTCCAGCTACTTCACCAGGGTGTTGGCTCCAAAATGACCAAAAGCAACATCATCTGTCATTTTTCGGAATGTTCTCTGATGTTCTGCCTGAGTTTTCTTTGCTTCATGCTGCCTCTTTCACCAGCAGAATTCCCTTGTCATTTTGGTTCTTTTGATTTACCTGTTTAATATGTTAGGTTTGTGGTATTTTTAATCTAGAGCTTCTCTTGGTTGCAAAGAAACTTCAGGTGTTTCAAAAACCTGTAGCACAAAATTAATATTTTGCTTTTGAAATCCAAGCCCTTATAATACCATCATACTTACATAACGATCCACACTCACTAAAGACAGTAGTGTAGTTCAAGAAAGATGGCAGAGTTGCTCTGCTTCAATCCATGTAGAGCTCTTAAATTTTTAGGTAATCAAAATTTTAGGCTGTTAAACATTATGTAGTTTAGAAAAGCTTAATATTCCAAAGAATGTTTATGCAGGTACACATACAAAATGTATGTCCATGTACATACAGTGAGAAAACATTGTAATGTGAATATATTTACATGTGCTCTGTCACTTAGTATTAAGATCTTTAAGTTATGTTTTAAAGTAACATAGAATATGTTCTTTCAAAGTGTTTCGAAGTCATCAGTTTCTTTAACAGGACACAGAAGTGCTAACCATAAAAGGAAATTATGTTCTTTTGCCATTAAAATAAGGAACTTTTGTGGATTACCTTTTTGCTGTCATGATATTTAAAGCAGACATGGAACACATGTTTACATGGAGACCACAAAAACTCAGTTGATATTTACTGAAAGTAACAACCCTCCTGTAAGTCAATAAGGAAAGAGAAGCCTGATCAGAGAATAAGCAAGAAATTGAAAGGAAGCTGATTGACAAATTTAGGAAAGAAAAATAGCCCATGAGTACCTGAAAAGCAGCACTCTCTCAGCAGTGCACGTCTGGCGTAGTGGTGAAGATGCATGTTTGCCCAAGCAGAAGTGCCTGGGTTAGAAGCCTGGCTCTGTCCCCATCCTGCCTTCCCAGTGAAGCACGCCCTGATCAACAGCAGCATGTGGCAGGTTTCTGTTCCCAGCTCTTAGTTTCAGCAGGGCTAGCTACTGCAAGCATTTAGGGTAGGGGTTGAAATGGCAGTTGGAAAACCTGTCTATGCCCTTCCAAACACATAAACTGAAAAGATAAATAAAAATCCAATTTCCTTTATGGTCAGTGAAATGCAAGTTAAAAACAGCAATGAGATACAATTGGTTGTCAAAATACACAGGCACACCCACATGACAGGAGCTGGGGAAGATCGAATTCGCACATCTGCAGATGACAGCTGCAGCCCAACACCTGCATGCCCTGGTGGCCTGCTTCAACAATGATATGTACTGGAACATTCCATAACGGGTCCTTCCAGATCAGGACTGGCAAAACTGCCTCACAGTATGTGATTCACAGGCTAGACATGCTTTGTGCATAGTTTGTATATCAAGAAATGAAAATATGTAACAGGTCATTTGGGGCTCACAGGCTGAGAAACGAATGCACTGTCTAAAGTTTTCAAAAAAAGTGTACAGACTCTTACTCTACATCCACAACTGGAAATGCCAAATGCTCATCAAAAGTGGGAAGTGATGAATCAATTGCAATGCCTGTGTACATGAAATACCTAAAAGAAACATGTGAACTATTATCATGTAGATGGTAATGGAATTCACAAATGTCAAGAATAAGATCCAGAGACTGTTTACTCACATGAAGTCCAAAAAATAGGTGACCACAAGCTTTCATGCTGGAAGTTGGGATCATGGTTACCTGTGGGCAAGCAGCAGTTGGTGGCATAAAAGGAGCTTTTGGTTCATGCTGTTTCTTGGTCTACATATTAGTCTTCAATAGATGCACTTTGTGAAAGCTCACTGATCTGTACACTTAAGGTTTGTGCGCAATTTTATGGTTACATTCTAATTAAAAACTTATTTGCAAAGTCCTTGCTAAGTACTGTACAATGACACATGACATGCTGCCACCTCTAAGAGACCATCTCCTGATGGGCTTCTCTCAATAACTTATTGTCCTGTCCATTATGGCTATGACATACTTGGATCAAACATACACAGCAATTCTTAGCCATGGTTACCGCTACAAAGACTGGCACATTGCTCCCAGCTTGATATGGTAGTAGCCTCGACACATAAGCCTATGCAGGGCTCAGTAGTGGGATATGGCAAGCTCATGCTTTAAGTGACTTGAACAGCAAGCCTTCTGAAACTCGTGTGTGTGGACAAAACTGTGACAAGTTTATGCCCATGGTGCTCCTCAGATTCTCCTGTCTCAAGCCGTATTTTTTCTGCTCTTGTCCATCCAAGGAGGCGTACACCGCCTAGAGTCAGTGGAAGAATATAATGAACTGATGCTGCGGACCGGGGACCCCCGGGCCAGGATGCTGGAGGTGTCCCGAGATGGCCGGAAGCACTCCCTCCCCCAGCTGCTTGACTCCTCCAGTGCATCACAGGTCAGTCTTGGACCGTAAGGCCTCTTCCTTGCTTCCACAGACACCGTTGCCTGGTTGGGGCCTGAAGAACATGTTTCTAGAAAGCTGGGCTACTAAACTTTTTTTTTTTCTCCAAAAATCAGAAAATGTGTAGGTGGAGCTCACACAGAGAAAATAGTGTGGTTTACCCAGAGAGTAAAGGAAGTCAGCCCAATGCATGACAGTTACAGGGAAAACCAAATCCCTCAGCAGACCTTGGCGTCTCCATCCCCACTGGACTGTGGCTTTTGGAACTCAGAGTGGCTTTCAGCTGCCAGGAGACAATGGCGTCTCCCAGGCTCTGGTGAACCACCACTGCCTGGTACACGGGAGCATCATATGTCAGCACACCAACGGTGTGGGTGGTTGTGGTGGCTGTGAGCACATGTGCACTGCCATGCATACCTAGGAGGGTCCTTCCTCATCCTCAGCTCAGACAGTCAGGCCCAGCAAGGCACAGGAGATTGGCAGGTACTTAGGTCAGTAGTCCAGATCCTGTTCCCATCATTGCTCCAGATGCCACATCACCCTGTTCCACACAGCAGGACAGCTCCTAACTCCTAAGTAATCTCCCACCATAGAAAGTGATAGAAGACAAGCTCCGACTCTGGGGAACCTGTGGGCTCAAGTGGAACCACTGGCACTGTGTTCCCAGGTTGCCATGGAGCAGGCATAGAGGAGGAGGGTGTGGCAGCAACAGCTCACCCTGGGGGTGCCTGGAGACTCATACATGGTGGTAGCATTCTCTAGGCCCAGTCCCTGCTTCTCATGTGTTGTGGGCATTTTACAGCTGGGACAGTGAGTCTTGAAGAGGTGAGCTGTCTTGCTCAATCAAGGTAGTATGCTAGAATCTGAAAAATAATTAGACTTCAGGATAGTCTTTATGCTGCTCCTGTCTTGTGAGAAAATACAAAGGATTCCTGTGTCAGAGGCAGCTGCTGATCAGGCTGTTTGGGATCAGGTTCACCCCAAATCAGCTCAAAGGGAGTATGGCCCTGAGAAGCAGCAGAGAAAAAAATCAGTTGTTGGGAGTACACCCGGACTAGCGATGGATAGTGCAGTGGCCTGTTCCAAATGATCCTATTGGACCCAGAGGCAGAGGGGAACACGAAATGTAAGAGAACTGCTTGAATTGGTGAGAAAGGCAAGAGAAAGTTTACTGCTGGCACGGCCAAGGAGCTGGTGACGTCTGAGCACATGGACAGTGGCTAGTGAGAATGGCAAGTACACCCCTTAACCAGCCTAGTCCAAATACCAACAGCCACAGGTGGCAAGTGGCTACCATTAGAAAGCTCAGGTCTGGAAGTGCCAAGCCAGGGGAGGACCCTGCTGAGCCCCTTCTGGACATCACTGGAGCCTACAGGCAGTGGGTTCCCACCAACTTCCAAAGAGAGAAGGTACAAACTGCTCAAGATGGAGGAAAGACCACATGTTCCTCTGTGAGCTTACACACAAACCTTGATGTAAATTTGGAAAACCCATGGGTTGTGTCTGGCTGTCTCTGTGCTGGTTTCAGGAAAAGGCTAGAAACACCGCCAACCCCACATCATTCGTTTAATGAGCCAAAGTCTGGAAGGCCAACAGTGCTGGCAGATACTTTGTGAAACTGCAAAATTGTAATGGTTCTAAACTTCCAGGAGTATAAAAATATCGAGGGCATCTCATTTCTTGAGTTGAATGTAGCATACACAAATGAAAGATTAAAATTATTTGAGATATCTCCCTCTCCTACTAAATGCAAAGTAATCTTTTTTAGGTTGATGCTAGAATATCTGCAGAATTGAAGAAGTATTACTCTTAAGAAGCATAAGGAGCTAGAATGCAGACATGCCATTAGCAACAGAGCTAGTGTCTGATTTTTCTTGTAAATAGTACACCCTGCTTTCACACACGTATGTTGTGGGAGATAAACAAAAAAACAGGCTTGAAATTGGAGCTGCCGTGTGCCAGGAGGGAAAGTGTGGCTTATGGGAGAATGTTTTATTTTCCAAATGGGAACGATTCAACCAAGTTGCTGCCATCACTTTGTAGGATGTTTTATGTAAAGCAACAATTGCCTTGGTTTGTGGTTTGGGTTTTCTAAAAGCAAGGATTTGTTCTGTTTTCAAATGAGTAAACTAAGCTTAAAATGATGAAATGCTTTCTAATCATGATGGTGAACTTGGGATGGGAGTTGTGGTGACTTGCGAGGGAGAGCCTGGCCACAGGGTGGTCATCTTACATCTCTGAGGCCTCTCGCCTTCTGGTTGCTGACTCCATTCCAGAGGTAGTCTGTAGGATGCGGTGAATCCAAAAGCAGCAGCCAGTACTTGTGGGCCCCAGGCAGGGAGAGAGAGATGGAGAGGGAGAGGGAGGGAGATGGAGAGGGACTGTATGTGTAGGAAGAAGACAAGGTAAAGGACTGCATGAGCGGTGGCTCCTTCAATGTGATTTAGAATGCTCTTCCTTCAAGCCACTGGCCAGGAGTGGACCCAGGGAAGTAGCACTGTCTTAACGCTCACATTTCCTAACATACCTTCACACCCAACCATGGGAGATGGTGCCTGATGAGTGTGTCCTGACTTGCAGGAATACCACATCGTGAAGAAGTCTACTCGTTCCTTAAGCACCACTCAAGTGGAGTCCCCTTGGCGGCTCATTCGGCCATCCGTTATCTCCATCATTGGGCTGTACAAACAGAAGGGCAAGGTGAGCTCTTGATTTTCTGCAGGTGATGGTCAGCATGTACTTTTTAGTGTACTGGAGGTACTGAATAAGCAGGTGTAATACACATAGATCAGAGGAAGACGATGGCAGTTTTAATTTGCAGCTTCAATTTTAAGCACAACTCTATTAAATGCCAACAGGGGAAGGGGGCCTTCTGTTAAATACTGTCGGGACAGAGGCCTCTAGTTGATACTGTAATGGGAAGAATGTCTTTAATTAAATGGATACTTTTTACTTGATCTTTCATTAGCTCATTTTAATATAAAATAAAGTAGCAGATGCCATGATTAAGTGGCCCTTGTATAAATGCATGGTATTACACAGACATCAAGTCATCCATTTTTATATTCTACAAAATGGAAAGACTGAGATGACAATTGAAAACAAATACAGGTAATATGAAATGACTCATGACTTAGTTGACCCATATGAAATGGTCATTTTTAAAGGTCAAAGTCTGTGAAGTGTTGGCAAGTGTGTGTATTTTAATCTCAGACACACTCCCTTTAATGCTCTGAATGACTAGTGTGACTATAAAGAGATGTAGGGAAGAAAGTGAGGACAGGAATACAAACTTGAATTTACCAACCCTGGTTGGGAAGGCTATCTCCATTAAATGGTAAGGCAGGAAGGACACCCTCAGTTAAATACAATCATAAGAAAGATGCCTTCAGTTAAATACCATAATAGAAAGTTAAATACTGCAGTTCAACCTGGACTTGCATCTGCTTTGGACACAGGGCCTCGGCTTCAGCATTGCTGGCGGTCGTGACTGCATTCGAGGACAGATGGGGATTTTTGTCAAGACAATTTTCCCTAATGGATCAGCTGCAGAGGATGGAAGACTCAAAGAAGGTAGGAGAAAGCTGCTCGAACGGTGCTCCTCCATGGCGGGGAGCTCTGGCTCCATGAGAATTTGTCTTCTCACAAGATGTGTGAGATGAGTGCACAGTTGAGCTGGGCTGACTCCCAACACTTAGAGACCATGACCTTGAACAACCGAAGTGCTAAGGCCCAGTTGAAAGGATGGTAGTGAGGATTAAATGAGGCCATGCCAGCAAAGCAACCTGAGAACTTTGGGATCTTGAAGTAGCTGTCTTAACTGCATGGCCCTCGATCATACTCCTTGCCTTAAATTTTTGAGTTTTTAATCCATTCTTGCCTCAAGGTTGGCATGAAGTAGAATGAGTATCTTGCTGTTAATCTATCACCACATAATTTGGTTCCTAATAATTTTTTAAATTTGTTTATTGATTTGAAAAGCAGAGTTAGATAGAAAGAAGGTAAGGCAGAGGAAGGTATCTCCATGTATTGATGTGATGCGCAGGAGCTGCAACAGCCAGGACCAGGCCAAAGCAAGGAGTCCGGACCCCATTCGGGTCTCCCACATGACTAGCAGGGACCCAAGCATTTGGGCTGTCTTCCCCTGACTTCCCAGGCATGTAAGCAGGGAGGTGGATCAAGAGTGGAACTGCCAGGACTGCACCCAGTGCTCGTATGGGATGCCAGCAACACAGAAGGTGACTTGACTTGCTGCCCCTCAACACTGCCCCTGCCTCCTGGGCCCTCCTTTCCCCTCTCCCTTCTACTCTCTTCCCCCAAGCCATGAGTAGATTTTATATTCTCCATAGGATCTACATTTGGCTATGTGTATATATACCAGGCAGGTGCTTCTGGGTGCAATTCAAAACATTAAGGGGTAGGTATTGGCACAGTGGCTGAGATGTTGTTTAGGATGCCTGCATCTTTGAGCACTTCAGTTTCAGTCCCAGTTCTCAGTTCTTGCTTCATGCTGTTTGCTCTGGGAGGCAGCAGGTGATGGCTCAAGTGTTTCAGCCCCTGTCAGCTACACGGGAAACCCAAATTAAGTTCTTGGCTCCTGGCTTCAGTCTGGCCCAACTCCAGCCCCTGTAAGCCTTTGAGGAGTAAATCAGCAGACGCAAGAGCTCGCTGCTGCTCCTCCTCTTTCCTCTCCCTTTTCCTTTCAGATAAATGAAATATGAAGTGCATAGAAATTTTAAAATAATAGATACCAAGTTTTATCTTGCAAATTATTTTTAGTCTTTAAATGCCTGTTGTGTCTTTTAAAAATTTATTTTATTTATCTGAAAGAGTTACTGAGAGACAGAGAGCTTCCATCCACTGGTTCAGTCCCCAAATGGCTGGGGCTGGGCCAGCCTGAAGCCAGGAGCTTCCTCTGGGTATCCCACATGGGTGCAGAGTCCCAAGCATTTGGGCCATGCTCCACTGCTTTCCTAGGCCATAAGTAAGGAGCTGGATGGGAATTGGAGTGAGCAAGAATTGAGCTGGTGATAATATTGAATGCCTGCACTGCAGGCAACAGCTTAACCTGTTGTGCCACAATGCCTCCCATGCCTATTATATTTGACAGTGCTTTAAACATTTACAAAGTATTCCATGTATTCATTCTCATGTTTCAGATTACTTCATTAAAATGTTACAACCTATTATAAACCTCTTAAGAAGTCTTCATGGCGTGATTAAATCAGAATTTCCTATTTGCCTTTAAGCTGTTGTGACTATACAGTTGATCCCAACTGACCCCAACTCTCCATGCTGTGCTTCCGCTGTCTCTTTTTGCTTTGACTGATAAGAGGGAATTGAAGTCTCCCTTTTAAGGGCAGGGCAGGCAGAGCAGCCTGTATGCTGATGGTAAGACATGGCCAGGCTACTGACATCCCTGGCGGAGCCTTTACTTCTGCTCTTAGCAGAAGGGTTAACTCCCAGGTGCGGTTGCGGTCTAATTTCAGGAAGCACAGTTCCAGCAGAGCATTTTTGTAATGAATGTGCCATGTGTTCACCTGATTGGAAATCATCCTGTAAGGCTGGTAGCAAAATGGAGCGGGGGGGGAAAAATCAATAGCGAGGAAAGGTTAATGCCATTTGACTCTCCTAAATGCTGTTTTCTCATTTGTGTTCATTTACAAGAAATGAAAGTCACTGGAATGGACTTGCAACTTGTTGAGTGATACACCTTTTTAAAATCTTGGCATAAGTTTTCAGAGCATGAGCAATCATTTTAATGTTTCTAGCCTTTCTCCTATGAAAGCAACCCCAAAACATAAACTTCCTTTCTAATTGAGTAATTGGTTATACCAGGTGATTTTTTAAACAGATTTTTTTCTTTTCATTTATAAAACTTCTGTCATTTCATTGAAATGGAAGACATAAAGCAAATGTATGAGGCCCAGGGGGTGGCCCACATTGTGGACCCCTGGGTTAAACCATTATTTGGAACAAAAGTGCTGCGTGTTGCAGTACCAGTTGAGTCCCAGCTGCCTCCCTCCCCAATCCAATTCGCCACAAATGACCTGTGGAAGCAGTAGATGCTGTCCCAGGCACTTGGGCCCCTCCTGTCACCTGTGTGTGAGACCCAGGTGCTCTGGGCTCCTGGCTTTATCCTGGCCATTGTAGCTATTTGGAGAGTGAACCAGCAAATGTGGAATCTTCCTCCCCCGCCTCCTCCTCTCCCACCCTCTCTCACCCTGTCACTCTGCTTTTCCAGTAAATAAATGAATAAGTCTTTGGGGAAAAAATAGGGCATTGCTGCATTTTTGTAACTCAACAGGGCTTCTTTAATCATATGCGCAAGGTGTTCCTGGGCTGGCCGCATGAGAGCTGGCAATATATGTTCGTGTACTGCCCTGCCCTCGGTCGTGACTGCACCACGGCACCCTTCTGCTCTGTCCTGCTGTGCACAGCTCACGGGGCTCATCTCCTGGGTGTTTTGAGAGCATGTTTGGTGAACTACCATTCCAGAAAGCAGCCCAAGTCACCAGGGTACAAACCCAAAGTCACCTTAATGCTTCACCCCAGGGCATCTGAGCCCTGTGGCACACTGATAAGCACAGACATCTAGATAGTTGCTGGAGGTGGAGCTGCCCTCTCAGTGTCCCTGCAAGTGCTGTCTCAATCATGAAAACCATTTGAAGTGTGGTGTGCTGATTCTTGGGCCTGTGGGCTTGTCTTGAAATGCAGGAGTGGTGTGTGTGTGTGTGTGTGTGTGTGTGTGTGTGTGTGTGTGTGTGTGTGTGTGTGTGTGTGTGTGTGTGTGTACACGCACGTGCACGCGCACACACACACTATGGCCAAGGGAATTCCATTTTTAAATGCTATCAGGAAAGCCTTGGAACCCAGTTTGTGCAGCTTGGTCTCCAATAGAACATCTGTTGTCCAACTTGAAAATGGCCCAAGAATGAGATCTTGAGGCTTCCCATAGCTGTGTTCATGGAAAATGAAAATGCAGAATTTTTGCAAAAGAGAAGTGTCGTTGTTAATTGTCCCATTTTGTGACATGCCTGAGAGCTAGGCTGCAGAAAGTGGATGAGGACAATAAAAGTCATTTGATGAAGTAGTAAATCAGAGACCATATGGTGTCCCATCTGGGCCTGTCAGAGCAGTCGGATTCCGATAAATTAAAACTTAACATGATTCTCACATTTGCTTGCCAGGGGATGAAATCCTAGATGTAAATGGGATTCCCATCAAGGGCTTGACCTTCCAAGAAGCCATTCATACCTTTAAGGTAACATCCATCCTACCTATCTCACCTGCCCTGGGTTTACCCCCCCCCCCCCGTTTCCTTCCAGTGTGGGTTTGGCGGGGGTTGTTCTGCCATTTGATGTCAGGTCCCCACTTGTTCCCATCTTGTTTCTACAGCAAATCCGGAGTGGCTTATTTGTCCTAACGGTGCGTACCAAGTTGCTGAGTCCCAGCCTCACGCCCTGCTCGACACCCACACACATGAGCAGGTCCAGCTCTCCCAGCTTCAACAGCAGCATAGGCGCCGTGGTGGGAGGCCCCGAGGACAGCAGCTCTTGCTCTGTGGGGCGCAAGGTCCCTGGCCCCAAGGACAGGATCGTCATGGAAGTGACCCTCCACAAAGGTGCCAGCAGCCTCGCTCCACTTCCCCCGTGTTCTCTTGAATAACCATTTGGCATCTGTTCTTGGGTTGATTCTCTTTATTTCCTAGTTGTTTCTTGGGAACCATTGGCTATCCACAGCATGTGGTGGGACAGTAGGATCAAAAGTAGAGCTCTTTAGTCACTTTTATAGAAGTGAAGGGAAGTTATCAGTAACGCATAGAATCTACACAGGCCCCCGAGGGACCTCTGTGTGTCAGAGACCCATGTTGCTCCTGACTTGTACCAGTAGCTACAGGTCATGGCTGAGCACCAAATCTCGCTGCTTTTCATCTTGTTTTTTTTCCCCTCCCTACCTACTGTAGAATTGGATGACAAACTAAGCAGCGGATAGCCCAGATATTAGTCACGACAGGATGAGATGAAAGAAAGCCCATAAAAACAGCATGTCCCGGCAATAAAAATACTGCCTATACTCGCTTCCTCCAAGAAACAGTTTAGTAAGTTTGTTAGGCTAAGCAGAGAGTGGCCCACTGAGTCACTGACCACCCATGCTCACCGCTCTGGTTCACCTGTGGACTCAGTGCTTTAGCGAAGTATGACAGTGTTGACTAAGAAAAGCAGGGATTTGCAATGTGAGTCTGCACTAAAAATAAATGCCCTCGACCTGGGTATTACATTGATGCAGTTCAAACCCATTATACCAAAGCTTTTCTGGTAACTGTAATTTTTTGTTTTGTTTCCTTAAATGCTGCATCTCGCAGAGCCACGCGTTGGACTTGGCATTGGTGCCTGCTGCTTGGCGCTGGAAAACAGTCCTCCCGGCATCTACATCCACAGCCTCGCACCCGGATCCGTGGCCAAGATGGAGAGCAACCTGAGGTCTGTGGGACCCCTGACAGGATGGGTGCTGACATGCTCATGAGGACGCAAGAACCCACACAAGCTCTCTGCACTGCTGTGCTCCTCGGGAAGACGCTGTGTCTTGACTCATCTCCCAGAACAGGGCTAGGATGCCCACTAACAGCTTTCCCAATGCTGAAAAGCTGATAGACATGAAATCAGGTTGATTTATAGGACCCTGAGTTTCAGCTGCCTGCTTTTGTCCTATTTGGAATCCCAAGTTCAGTTTCAGAAACTTGGCAAAATATAAGTCTAGCCTGATACCTCAGGGTTGTCCTTGACTTGTATTTTCATTTTGGTTTTTTTCATCTGTGCAAAATTCAGGTTCTGAGTCTTTGAGTTCCTACCTTGCATGGCAGTCCTTGACTCCTGACCATCCGTGCATGGGAGGCCGTCCTTAGGAAGTGCTTGTCCCATTGCTCCATTCCCATTTGAGCCCTGACATGGAGGTGCCTGGAGTCCAAGGTCACAGAGGAGCTAATTTCCTGTTCCTGAGGGTGGTTTTATAGCATGGGGATTCTGCTAACACAAGGCATGACTGGCCGTTTTCTTATACATATAGTCATTGCAGGAAGTCCAGGCCCACCTAGACTTTCCCAGGCCTGCACACATAGTACAGAAAGTACTTGGAGTGTACACGATCATCTTTGTTCCTATTAAGCACCTTAGTTTGTTAGCAGTTAGGCTGTTGTTCTGAAGGTATTTGTTGAGGTTGCCATATTGGAAGCCCTGTTAATAGATCACTTTAACATTTTCAGTTCATCATTGGAATAAATTTCCATGTGAAAAAAAATTAGCAAAGCATCCAAAGTACATTAAAGAAAATATACTTTCAGAACTCGGGGGGGAAAAAAATCCCTTAATGACATCCCGAGCTGATGTTTCTTCCTTGAATGGTTCCATATGTCTGGAGCCTGCCAAATACACATTCTTCAAACCCCATGTAAAGAATCTTTGTTCTCTCCTGCCGAGTTCTCTCCCTAGAACTTCAAGTCAAAATGGGCAACTTGTCCCCAATTTCTCATTTGCTCCAATTTGAAATGTTTTTACAAATTCTTGAGTAACCTTTGAGCTTCAGATATTTCCTCCTTAAATTATATTACAATAATCAGTTCAAGATGGTGGAAAGAAAGCAAAGCTGTTGGTGCTTAGAGGGGCCATCACATGAGGGTCAGGAAGCAGACCTGCGTGTGCTCAGGGTTGTGTGTTGCCAGGTGACTGCCCAGAGCCCAGAGCCCTCTTGACTTTGGTCTGCTCAAAGCTTTCTGCCACAGGTTGCTCTTTAAAGTGCCTGATCTACCATGTGTGTTCCAGGAGCAGTAGCCCTCACTGGTTTCTTCATGATCAGTGTTATTTTACTTTACTGCCTGACTTGACACCAGTTCATATGTTTCATGGCTTTTGCCAGTTCAGAGTCTGATGTGTTTGATTCTCACCTGTACACAAAAATGAAAGAATAGCAATGACTTTTTAAGTAGTCAGAAAAGATCTTGTGTATTATAAATCTTGCCCAAAAGGAAAGCCTGTTGTAGCTTTTATAAAGCTAGCTAGGGGGTGGGCACTGTGGCACAACAGGTTAAGCTAGTACTTGTACGCGCACATCCATATTGGAGTCCCATTTCCGGTGCCAGCTATGCCACATCCTGGGAAGCTGCAGGTGATGGCCCAAGCCTTGGGAGACCCATATGGAGATCTGGACTGCTGGCTTTGGCCCAGCCCAGCCCTGGCTGTTGTCTCCTTCTGTCTTTGTGTATGTGTCTCGCTCTTTCCCCTCTCCCATTCTCTCCCTACCCATTTTCTTCTCTCTGCTTTTTGTATAGATTAAAAAAATATAAACTTTTTCTTTAAGAAAAAAAAAACTGTTAACACAGAACACTGACTGTGTTGCCTTCCCTAGCCGTGGAGATCAGATCCTAGAAGTGAACTCGGTCAACGTGCGCCATGCTGCTCTAAGCAAAGTACACTCCATCTTGAGCAAATGCCCCCCGGGCCCTGTCCGCCTTGTCATCGGCCGGCACCCGAATCCAAAGGTGAGGTGTTGCCCTGTCCTGCACTTGGGGGGTTGACATAGCTGTAACCTGGGCTCCAGGGGTGACACACACACACTGTGAAGGTGGGGGGGACAATTTGTCCAGCATGGGAATGGGAAGAGTCAGCAGATATACATGGGAAACTAATGTTTGATCTGGGCTTTGTCGTCATTTACTCTTGTATATTGTACTAGAAGATGATGGCTGTGTCTGCTAAGTCTTCACTTCTGGTGCGGTTGTTGGTTTCTGAGCAGCCGGCGCCGGCTCTTGGATCACTGGCCAGTTACTTCTCTGGGTTTCTACACCCAGAAAATCTGAGAGCATTGGGCTGTATGATCTGCAGAATCTTTACAGTGTAGGGAGAAGAAATCCTTTTTTCTCACAATCTTTGTTTGCCCATGTGTTACAAATTCTCTCAGTTTTAAATTTAAGTGATTTTTTTCAACAGGTTCAGTGGATTTTAATCATACTTGTGTAAGAAACAAAAATGTCAAGATTGAATGAGTAATAATTTAAACTTGTAATAATTTAAAAGCTGGAATTTAAACTTCAGTATACTTAAGTCACTTAAATGAGGAACTGGTTTGCATTTCTATAGAATTTTTGGTGTAAAAAGTTTTCAGATAATTTTAAGGAAAAACAGTGTCTTCAGCTGTAAGGAGGAACATGTTCTTAATGTTGATTCAGCCCTCTGCTGAGTAAAGAAAATATCTTTTTGTCTTAACAGATGAGAATCTCACATAACTTCTTTTTTAAAAGATTTATTTATTTTTATTGGAAAGGCAGATTTGCAGAAAAGGTAGACAGAAAGATCCTCCATCCACTGGTTCATTCCCCAAGTGGCCACAACAGCTGGAGCTGAGCCAATCCGAAGCCAGGAGCTGCTTCCAGGTCTCCCACGTGGGTGCAGGGTTCCAAGGCCTTGAGCCATCCTTGACTGCTTTCCAATGCCACAAGCATGGATCTGGAAAGGAAGTAGAGCAGCCAGGGTACAAACCAGTGCCCACATGGGATCCCGGTGCATGCAAGGCGAGGACTTTAGCCACTGGGCTACTGGACTGGGCCCCTCATATAACATAAATTTAAAAATAAGATGCACTGTCACTTTTGCAAGCCAGTTGCTTTGAAAATGTTACTTTGTGGATTTCACTTCCATCAAAGTTGGTGGGAAACAAATGCCAGCATTTTGACTAAACCGTAGTGAAGCAGTTATGTGTGAAGTTTATTTAATATCATAAAGAAGTTATGGGTTAGGATCTCAAGGCTAAAGTTTTCCATTCATGCTAGGACCTTAATTACACTGAGATCCTCAAAGCTATCTAAGGAGCATCAACATGCACTGAATGTCTCCTGGTCAAGGCAGCTAGCGTCCAGGCACATTTTCCAACACTGCTTTGGCTTGCTCTGCCGAAGACATGTTCTAAATGTGTGCAGCTTCATGGGCAGAGGAGGAACAGGTGTGATTTATTTTGCACCCCAAGTCTCAGATAGCTGCAGCTTTTTGCATTTATGGTTGTGAAGGCACTCACTTTGGCTTCCGCTGAGAGTGAACCATCAGGTAACCTGTTGTTACTTCTAAGTTGTACTTGGGTAGTGAAGTGGGAAGATGCTTCAAGTCTAACACGACCAGCTCAGCTGTTGGTACCCAGGCCCATGTGGGCCTGGACTGAGCAGAAGAAGCAGGGACTCCCAAGGAGGCTTGGGAGCAAATAGGCCTGGATACAGAGGCAGGCTGTATCCAGCACAGAGGCAGGCCATGCAGTACAAGATTCTGGATGAACAGAGGGCATGTCCTTCCTGCCACTGGGAATCAGCCCGTCTCCCTAATCCTAAATCAAACTAAGCCCTTACAGAACCTCCACTGGGTACCAGGCAGTGTATACAGTGCTGTGTAGTTGAGTTAGAACATAGCAAGGAACTTAAATCTTAACCTGCAGTCCATCGACACAGGGGTCTGATGTATTAAACAAATGTGGGAATATATTTGCACTTATGCTCAGTCAGTAGCTTATATCTAATTGTCAGCCATTCATGATCACCAGGATGTCACTGATTTGTTAGAATGCGAGGACATTCTTGTTGGGATCAGATGAGTGAAAGAAGAGACTGAGCTGAAGGAGAGGTCTAAACAGGGATTGTCTATAATTAAGGCCTGAGAGGCCACTCAGGACCGTGAGTCTTGAGTCTTTGACCCCATGTTTCATTTGGTTTTGTTGCTCCCATACTTTCCCAATCGTCTTTCATTGAAGCTAGCCACAGCACCTGCAAGTTCAACTCCACTTCCTTTGAGTGCTGAGTTCTTTGTTTTGAGTACTTGACAGAAAACTCCTTAGAAATCAGTTTGTGTCTCAAATTGTGATTAGATTACATTTAACACACTGCATAGTCTTTTAGCAAATCAAACCCTCACTAAGAATCTTTGGTCTTACTGTTGCCTGGCACATGGTCCTGGTGGTTGTATTAGTTGTCACATTTTTGTTTATATCCTAAATGGCCCCTGCTGTGGCGACTGGTGGACAGGTGAGTCATCTCAAAGTGACACTTCTGTATCCGGAGACTTGGTGGTCTCCGTGTGCGACTGTGGAGCTTTTCCAGTGGCATCGTTGTGGACTCTGAGGGCTGGTGTCTGTTGTGTTGATCCTCCTTGATGTGGACACGTGCTGTCAAGCAGAGACCATGTGTCCTGCTGGGGGATGCTGTGTCAACGTAGACGAAGATCCCCATCTTTCTACCCCACTTTTTTTTCCTGAATTTCTTTATTTCCGGCCTCAGAAATGTGTTACAGATTGTTTCATAAGTAGCATTCATGTAAACTCAAGTCCTGCTTCTGTTTTCTTCTTTGTTTCCTGCTTGTCATGGCCTGCTTTTCTCCGATTGGTTCATTATCCTGATGCCCTTCACCAAGAACCTGGTCTGCTTTGTCCCTGCGGTGCCCCTGTGTGCCCAGGGTTGCAGCTCCAGTTGCTGCCTCTTCACCTCCTTTACCCTCAGAAGGTGTCCCAGAGCTGCAGCTGGCCAAATCTGTCCCTCAGCCATGTCACCAAGAGTGAAGGCCCTGGCTGTCTGCAGTCATTAGCTTCGAAGCACGACTGGCTGACCTGCAGGTTAATATCCTCCATGATGCATTCTAGGGGCCAAAAGCTTGTGCCTGCTTTGCCAAGATGACCCAACATCAACATGGCATCTCAGTGCGAATGCAGCAGCCCTGGCAGGCTGCAGGGCCACACTCCTGTCGAGCAGGCGGGTCAGTTCCTGCCCAGTGGATGGTGTTGGAGGTGCATCCAACAAAACCAAATTTCAGTATTTGCCTGCATTTCGCATTGCTTCCTAGGTAAACATGGGATGGGCCGCTTAGCTGTAACATCATATTCTGTTTTGCTTTGGGTCAAGATTCCTGTCAGTGCTTGATGTATTTTTGCACCACTTATCCAAGCCTTTGATGCCAACAGTACATTTTAGCATTGAATGTATGCACTTCCTTAGTCTTTGTGCGGTTCCAAGAGAAATACCACAAGCGTTTTCTTTTCTTCTGTTTCTTGTAACATCTGCGGCATTGGCTGCCCGCTTGCTGTACTGGAACCTTCCAGGTCTAGACATGCAAAGATTCGGGCTTGCTATGGTAGCAGCTTCTAGCTTATGTGAACCAGAGGTCACTAACAGACATCCATTTTTCTCCCCCTCAAAAACACCACTGTAAATATTGAAAGTTTAGTATTAAGAAAAATAGCAACCACTGTTTAAAATTAATTTTCCCTGGCTCGTTTGTACTAATTTGCTTTGTGAGGGGCTGTATGTGTGCACAGTAGGCCTGGTGCACGTGTGTGTACGTATTTTATTTCCCACAAAGCCTACAATAAAAAAATGACCCAAAGGCTGTGGTGTTTCCACTAGGATGAGATGTCACATAGCATCCTATAGACAAATGTTTATCTACTTGAGAAAAATGACTATGCTTACACTCATTATTTATGCCAGATACTAAAGAGATAAGATTACCATTCTAAGTTTAAAATAGTTTCACCTTTAAGAAAGAACCTCAGTTTTCTAAATATCTTTTCAAATCAGATCATCTATTTCAGTGTATGTCAGGTTCTGGAAAAAATTCCCATGAGTAACGATAGTTGTGGCTAACAAGTGACGGGAAGAAAAGGCCTGTGGACATACCGTTGGCAGTAACGAGCACATAAGGAAGAGAGGAGTTTCCAAATTGCCATTTAAAAGTTTTCCTAGTACTAACTGGTTCCAGCTTGAATAAGCAATGATGTGCTGACTCCAAGGGATAAGCCTATATTGGGGAGCAAGACATTTACAAAGTGTCAGGGTGATTCGTTGGTGACCCCAAAAATGCAATGGAGAAATCCAGGAATGTCTGTTCCAATCAGGAGAGGGTGCTGTTGTGACCAGCTGAGCCAGACTGACTCTGAGCAAGGGCATCTGCATGCAGTGAGCGGGGAGGCATCTGGATTCTCTGCCCTCAGCGCCACTAATGCAGATGGAAGCACAAGGGCGCACCCATGTGCACTGGGGGGTGTGGGTGGCGTGAGTGTCTTCCAGCTACCAGCATCGTGAAAGACAAAAGTTAGGGAACTGTTTCAGATGAAAGGAAGCTAGAGACACATGAGAGCTAGGGCCCAGGTCACATTGTGAATTCCGAAGACAGGTTTTCTGGGAGCTCACAGCAGAAGATCAGCTCCATCCCTGGGCACACCGTTTAGTTAGGTTGACATTTTCAATGAAGGAAGCTGTACCCTAACTTGCATTCTAGGGCAGAGTGCTTACCACCTTACAGGCTGAGGTCAGACTCCCTGTGGACTAGATCCAGCCTGCAGACACACTTGGAGGGATAGTTAAAAGAAGAGTGTTTGAATAACTGACCAGATTGGAATATGCGCTGTATATTATAAAGTCATCAAGGTTAAATTTCCTGCATCTAATGTAACTATATCATGGTTATTTAAGAGAATGTCCTTTTTTTTCTTATTTAATTATGATACAATTCCATAGGCTCTGGGATTTCCCATTCTCTTTCCCCAAGCCCCCTCCCCTGCACTGATTTCCCCTGCATTACAATAGTGTAGTATTTCATCAACACTGGTGAATCCATCATTCTGCTCTTCAAGTGTATCCTGACATTACGGGGAGGCACAAGCACTAAGTCCAGAATCCTGTTGTGATATATTTAACAGTTTCATTGGATGTCTATCTTTGATTTGGAAGTAAAGATGCATTCTGCATTGTATCTTTACATTCTCCACTGACTCATAGGTCATACAGTAGCACTGTTTTCTCCAAGAAGGTTCTTGAGTTTCATGTTCGTTTCTTCAGTGACACATTATCCATTCAGTGGTATGTTATTTAACTTCATGGCATTGTAAATTTGTACTTTTCTTCCAGTTACTGATTTTGTTTTATGGTTTTTCATTTAAAGGGACGTATAGTAACTGTGTAATAACCATCATATCCAGATGAGAATGCTGCCTTTAGGACATGCACGCTGTGATATTTTCCAGTGAAAGATAGTGTTATCTGTAAGCTACTTGCAAACAGCTTAGCACAAAAGTTATGGCTGAATGTGAGTGTGTGTGGGAGAAAGCTTGGATATAAATCTGGCAACATGTTTAAAATTTACCTATACCATTCTTGTACCACTCTTGGATATTTTTGATGGTTTAAGATTATTTAAATAGATGGTTTTGAAAGTTGTGAGGTCTACAGAGGGGTGTACTCAAGTCATGTTGTTGATGACCACAGCATGTGTTGCTTGCCGATGAACGTGGGGACCTATTGCAGTTCTTGTGGTTTATCCACCGTTGGAAGCCATGCCTTACTCCAGCTGTACTTCTTACCTTCGGAGGATGTTCATAATCTTATCTACTGTTATTGGGGGAAGCAAATAAATACAACTAATTTGTGTTTTCTGCCACAAATCAGGTTTCTGAGCAGGAAATGGATGAAGTGATAGCACGCAGCACTTACCAGGAGAGCAAAGAGGCCAGTTCATCTCCTGGCTTAGGTACTGTAATTGTGCCTTTTCATTCTCCCCTCAGAAGAGCCCCTCATTAACTTCGCCCATGGGGCACTCACCAGTGCGATAATACTGGGCTCCCTGTAATTATCAGGCTGGGTGAAAGTAGCCATCAGAATCTACACTTTGCAGAAATCTAAAGTAGCAATGGAGAGCAGTTATTTAATGTGCTTCATTAAAGATCTAATCATGTGTGCTTCCTACTACTTGGAAATAATTTGCCAAAATGAATTAGCAGCATTTCTTGTACTCAGACATAATTCACGTGGAATGCTGCAGATGAAAGTGAGATTAAATATCAGTCATTGGGTAGATGGCCAGGGTGTTACTCATCCCAAGATGCTGTGTTGCCTTGCTGTGAACTCAGCTGTTTCCATTTCCATGGAGAGAGCTGGAGGAAGGATCACACTTCCCCACGCACGTGGATAAGTGCAGACAGGGAAAGCTTTCACTCTAACTTTCCCTGGAGCTTGAAGACCATAAGGAGTGCTTCAAGCCTTTCTGAGCCCCAGATTTTACTGATACTTGCTGGCTGTACAGGAAGACCCAAGACACGAGTGACTGGTCGTCAGAAGGCAGAGATAGTGTGCTGTTTTGGCAACCATAAAACACCCTGATTATTTGTATTCATTCAAATGAACACTTTGAAAGTGAGCCTGGCCAGAACGTGGTATGTATTGCGCCAGTGCGCCCTCCTGGCCTGCCCACAAGCTGTGCACTCCATCCCAACATTTCTATCCACTCATGGGCAAGAGCTAGGCTTGTCCTACTTAAGTTGTGTTTTGCTTGAAGCAGATAAAATCTAAACATGAAGCTTTTCATCCTTCTGTTAACATTCAAATGGAAAGCCAGCTCTTGCCCACTTCATTCACGAGGTACTCAGGCAGTGGTCACTTGATCATGGATCTTTCAGCCCATCTGGGCACTCTCTCTGCCAGCCTCTCGGAGCCCAGCTGCTACAGCCAGCACTGTGAGGGCCCGTCTGTCCACAGCTCTGCTCTGGAGACTTGATGAGCTGTGAGGCCCATCCCTTCATCAGCCACTCACACCAGACAGACAAGAGTTGAGGTATGGGTAGACTCAAAGGCTGGAAATTCCAGACAGCTTAAGTGACTCCCAGGCGGGATCAGCACGGAAGTGGTAGTGTGTGCAGTAGGGCTTGAAACTTGCACAGACACTGAGCCAATGGGCTGGGACAGGATGGGGTGGAACAGCCAAATGGACCTGCATGCATATCGCTACCTGTGCCCCAGCCCCAGTCTAGCAGAGAGGGTGTGTCTGAATAGAGCTGGCTCCTCCCCCAGTAGCTAAAGAAGCAATCCTGTTTGTGGTTTGAGTGTCATGGTTTTGACCAAGTGATGAATTTTTTCCCCCAACAGGTACACCCTTGAAGAGTCCCTCTCTTGCCAAGAAGGTAAGTGAAGTCCCTGTGACCCACGTGGGCTGCAAGCAGATACTGATTCCTGGGGCACAGAGGTGAGAAGCCTCAGGCCCAGCCAGGATCCCAGCCAGGGAGTTCTTGGGGACCCTGGAGATGGAAAGTGTCAGCAGTGCTCTGTTGAGAACATACACATAAGTTTGTCATACTAAAGTGCTCAGCCAAGGAAAGAGTAGAACCACAAGGTACTGTCGATTGAAAGGCAACTTTGTAAACTGTTCTTTAATAAAGCAGCCAGACTCGGCTGAGTGTCAGAGTTGCCAGGTTGTGGCATCCTCAGCTGGCTCTCTGTAAGGCCAGAGGATCTTGGAGCAAAATCCACTTCCTCCCGCCCTTGCCCTCTCTTCCTATCCATGCCTGCCATGGCTTCCCCAAGACGGTTCACATATTGCTGCCATGGCTTTTTTGCTCTCAGCCAAAATTGTATCCCTCCATCTCCTACCCCTCCCTGAAAAAAACACAAAAAAGCACTAGCAGCAATGTTAGCAAGCAGCATTGGCCTTTTCCTCTGTGAAGTCCTTAGCGCAGCCACCCTAACATATCGAGAGGCCAGCGTTGGCTATCACAGCTGGGGCCGCCGAAGCATTCTTGAAAGGATGGGAAGTAATCATCACTGAAAATAACATGCTGCTTTGCCCCTTTTTGTAACAGGATGCCTTGCTGGCCGAGTCTGAGCTGTCTCAGTACTTCACCCACGAGACTCCAGGCCCACTGGCTGACTTCATGGTGACTGGCTCAGAGGACAAGGATCACTCCGGAAGTGGCTGCAGCACCGCCGAGGACAGCAGCCTAACCCCTGGCACCCCCAGTAAGCTGCAGAGCCCAAAGACGCCATGCACCTGTGTGCTGGAGCTTAACCATTCTGGTGCTATGCTAAGGGGACCATCCCTCTGGCTGGGTCAAAGCCATCCCAGACTTGGCTCTGGAAAAACAGCAGCTGCTGCCAAGGGCTGAGCACTCAACCAGTATTACGGGCACAGATGTTGATGGTGGCTCACCTGACCTCCTTTACATGACAGTCACCTGGTTGGGTTTCATGTCATCAAATCAGGGCAGGCAACACGATTACATGGACTTTGCTTGACCCCAGGCCAGCAGCTTCATACACCTGTCCACCTAGCCAAAGAGCGACCTCAGGTGGCCAGGTGTTGGGGCTTCAGTCCCATGTCCCCTCCCAGAAAGGAGTTCCTGGCTCTGGCAGTCGGAGAGCTGTGTGCTTCTGCCTGGGCACCACCATGTTTGGATTCAATGACCCAGAGGCTGGGGGGTGAAAAAGAGCAAGAGGAAGAGGAGGGCTCTAGGCTGCCTCACCACCCTGGATAGCTCCTGGGTGGCCCCATGTGTCCAGAGTTGTGTGCCTGACATGTATGCATGTGGAAACATTCATGCATGTAGATGGGATCTTCAGAATGAAAAGAGAAGTTTCTTTTGGTAGCCATTTTGTTTTTTCATAATGACACATTGTGACCTTTGGGACAACTCCCTGCAAAGGACCAGGCTGTGTGGGAAACTGATTTATTTCCTCTCTTTTTCTTTGTCTCCCCAACCCTCCAGCTCACAGGGAGCCAGGGAAAGCGAGGGCCAACAGCCTCGTGGCTCTCGGCAGCCAGCGGGTCTCTGGGCTCTTCCACAAGCAGGTGACAATCGCCAGGCAAGCCAGCCTGCCCGGGAGCCCTCAGGACCTGCGGAGCCCTCTGCTGCGCCAGAGGCGACTGGGCTGCTACGACACCAGTGACGAGGAGTGCAACGGGGAAGGCGACTGCGTCTCCCTCCCCGGGGCCCTGCTAGGGGCCAGTAGGCCCCTGTCGGAAAGCCACTCCAGGCACGTCCTGACGACTTCATCCAAGTCCCAGGATGTCGCCAGGCAAGAGAAACAGCCCCAGAAAACGCTGGTGAGCAAGGCCTCCTCGGTGCCTCTCCTTGGCAGGTCCATGGACTCGGAAGAGAACATCCCTGGAGGTGCAGTGGCCACTCCTTTCCTCGCAGCCAGCCTGCTGGGACCGGAAGAGGCCGCCAAGGGTGGCCCCAGAGACTTGGGGAAGAAGGAGCTGTCTGAATCGAGTTTGCCCAAGTTGGAGTACAAGGTCTGCGAAGGTGCACAAAGTCGGATGAGCGCGGAGAGCCCCATCTCCTCACAGCAGAAGAGCAAAAACCTGGGATTCAGGCACAAACCAGTAGCCAGGGTGAGTCCGCACTGCAAGAAACCCAAAGCTGAGACCAGGTCCGGGGGCTCGGAGACCATGACCGCGACTGACAGAGCAGATGAACCATGCAATCCAGACTTCCACGCCTGGGCCACTGCCGTCAAAGTGACCGTCCCTGATCTTCAGCCAAGTGCACCTGCCGGGAAGGTAACTTTCCCTTAATTGCTTTAACTCTAAGTGAACATTGCCGGAAAGGAGCCTGTTGGGAAGACGGGGCTGTGATGGGAGCATGCTCTGCCACCGCAGTCCTGTTAATTGGAGCGTGCTAGCATATCACAGTCTTTAGTCATGTGTACACTTGGCTGCAACCCTGGGTACCGTCCTTCTGTACCTGGGGCCTGTGGCTGGTGGGAGAAAGCCCCTGGGCCTGGTACCAACTCCTGCACGGGCCACTTGGCATTCATTGAGTGATGGCTTTGGCAAGTTACTGAGCCTTTCTAGGCTGAGAAATGGAATGTGCCACCTGCCCATCTCCCACAGAACTGGGGTGACTGTCAAACATGTAGCCTGACTCAGTCTTGCCCACTGATAAGTTTGTGGGAGATTCCTACATCCCTGTGAAGTCCAGAATTGGAGCAACTTGGGTCCTGAGGGGATCTGCAACATCATGGAGCTGTCTTCACTTTGGTGCCAGTCACTCTTGCTAATGTCACCTCTTAGGCACAAGTAAAATAAGAATCATCGAACAGGCCATATTTTAAAGTGCCAGTACTTCACCATTTGAACAATGAGAGTAAGAGAAATGAACAGTGTTTATAGTCTCGGCACTGTTCTATTTCCGGACAAACAATTCCAGATGACTAAGGCCCTATTTAGAAACACGTTGTGTATAGACACGTAGGTGTAAATAGACTCCAAAAAAATGTAACATCATAAAAAGTATAATAAGCAGAAAGCTTCTTTTTTTTTTTATTTATTTATTTTTTTTTTATTACATTGCATCATGAGACACAGTTTTACAGGCACTGGGATTCCCCCCTCCCCTCCCCAAAACCCGCTCCCCCCCCCCCATGGTGGATTCCAGAAAGCTTCTTAAAAGCTCATTTTAAGAAGGGTAGAAATGCATATCTTCACCCCACTTTCCTCCTCCCACCCTAAATCCTGTGGGAGTTTGGCACCTGTAGCCCATATGGGATGGCCTAAATACAGATCCCGGCTCCTTGATGCACACTCCAGGAAGACAGCCGGTGCAGTATCCCCACCCAACAGCAGACCATGCCTAAGCCCCTGGCTCCTGCCTGGCCTCTCCCTAGCTGCGTGCAGGTGTGTAGGGAGTGAACCACCAGTTGGAGAAGTTTCTTCTCTCTGTATCTCTGTCTTTCTCTTCTCTCTCTGCCTTTTGAATAAACAAAAAATAAATAGAACATGTTTTACTCAAAGAAGTAGAGGGGGGGAGGAAAGTCATGTTTTTGCATCCAAACTGCAAATGTGTTTAAAAAGATAAAATATTCAGCCAGGGGCTAGATTTCTTCTTTTGAAAATGTGTTATCAACAAGTTTGAGATTAATTATATGAAGCCAAACCAGAATTTTTGTTCATAATAATCTATATCTTTTCACATGAAGGCTTTTGTGATTTTGAATTTGCTCTCCCAAAAGAACTTCTGAGCACGATTTAAGACTTTTATGTAAATGAATTTCACTTCTATTATAAAAATCTTAAGCATAAAATTTGATGTTATTTATATGAGAAACAAAATGTGTTACCATAAGGTGTTAGTCGTCAAAGAAAAGATTTAAAAGCACACACAAATGCCTTCCTGTTTTAATGGATGAATTGTGTTTCTGGATTTTCACTCCACGCTGTTAACCTAAAATTCACTGTTGGAAAGTTTGGGTGCAGTGGCACTTGGCATTCAGAGCACTAAGAAGCCACCACATGTCTCGTTCCAAAGCTCTTCTGCCATTCCTGAGACATTTATGCCACAGGAGTTATTGGGAAATTGAGTTACAATGTGGGAGTACTTCCCTCCCCTGAGAACTTTATTTCACAAAATGATTTTTCGCCATTGTTGCCAGCACACACAGCAGCCCTTCCACCTCACTCCTCTGCTGCCCTCTTGGGGCCACTTGATGACTCGTTAACTCAGGGGGTAAAGGTCACATCCACCTGATTGATGCATTTAGTGCATTTCAAGATGTTCTGGTAGTGGGTATCAGGTAGAAGAAAGGAAGATGAGGCCATTGACACTTGGCCAACAGGAAATCTTGAGCTAGGAAATGCCAGTTGGATCTGTCTAGACTAGTCCTCTCCCTTGCTGCCAAACTCGGCATTCGATTTGAAGTTGTGGATTTTGTTGTGCACACTAACAGTAGTGCTTACTGTCTCTGCAGCCTTTGTATTCCGCATGCTGTTTTTATAACTGTTCGTACTTTGTCTTCTTTTGTCTAACTCTCCAAGACTGAGAACATTTTATTCCCACTTTTTACGTTGAGAAAACTGAAACTTAAGGAAAAATGACTGCAATTCTAGATTCTGGCTCTTCTGGCTATTAGCTCAGAGCTCTACTTAAAATATATATGTAATACTTTTCAGTACTTGGCAAATTCTTTTTCTTAAATTGATGTCTGTTATTTGAGAGGTAGACATCTCCCATCTGCTGGTTCACTCCCCAAATATCCATGACAGCTGGGCTGGCCAAGCTGAAGCCAGGAGCTAGAAACTTCAGTCTGGTCTCCCACATGGGTGGCAGGGACCCTGGTGCCTGAGCCGTCACCTGCTGGCTCCCGAGGCTGGAATCGGCGGGAGAGGTGAGGCCCCACACGACTGCCTGACGCAGGACGCAGGCCGGCCGAGTCACCGTCTGCACCGAGACCCCCCTCCTGGCTCCTTTGGCTTCTTCACATCCAGCTCCTCTTTATACAAGGGAACTTCAAAAAGTCTGTGGGGAAAGGGAATTCAGAGTCTATTGAGTTGCAAAGAGACAATTGAAATTCATGATTTTTTTCCCAGTGTGCGTTGTCCATGAACTTCTTAAAGGCCCCTTGTATGCATGAATTTCACATTTCTGGGTGACAAAATAAACCAAGTCTTTTAATTCCATTTCCCCATCTGTAAACTTTGGGAAGTCCCCTCCTTCAGGCTCTTATGCTCCAGAAGTCCTAAGAGGCAACGTGGGGTGACTTTATGGTGACTTGGGGTTGTCCTTGTGCCAGGAACCTTTGGGACAGCTGACCCTCAAGGATGGACATATCCCCACCGCCTGTGAGCCAGCTAGTGCCCCATCCCTCCTGGACCCTGGCCACCCCCCAGAGCACCTGCCCAGAGCCGCACCAGAGCCAGGGCCCTGGCCCGTGACAGGTAAGATCCTTCATCGCTTGTTAACCCTTAGAACCAGGAAGGCAGGACCCCTCCTAAAAGTGCAGAAATTTGAAGGGGGAAATTCCTCCTATAGAAACTAAGGTTTAAATACTGCCTGCATGGAACAGCTTTACTAGATCTTTGTGCCAGAATACATTTTTTAGGTACTTTTACAACTTGTTTTATTTGAAAGGCAGTTATCACCTGCTGCCTTCCAGTGTCTGCATTTGCAGGAAGCGGGGTGAGAAACAGGGGTAGGCAAACCTCGAACCAGGCATGGCTTCACAGTTGCACAATATGGCCCAAGCACTGACTTAACTGTTGTATAGTGTGGCCACCTCTGCATTCACAGCTTCAGCTCCGTGTTGAGTACATCCAGTTTTAATTGATGCTTGTTTACCTGTTGGGTAACACGCATGGATGAGCAGGGAGGATTTCCCAGCCTTTCAGAATCTCGGCATGGCTTTTGTAAAATCCAGCACACTAAACTACGCTCACAGGAATCTTCACAAGAAACAATCAAGAACTAGCACAAATGCTGATGAGAAACCAGGTAATGTTACAGAGATCGTCTGCGTATTTCCTTAACTACCATCATTCATTAGTTATTCAAATTATTGATCAAGCTTGATACTCTAAATTTGTTAAGCATGATTTTTCTAAAATCAATCATACTTGGTAATGGAGGTCTTTATGGAAACTTTGTATTCTATATGTGCAACTCTGGCCAGACATGGCCTCCTGTCCCTGCTTCTGCTCCAGCTTCCTGTTAATGCTCTTGGGAGGTGCATGGATTTCTGCCACCTATGTGGGAGACCCGGATGGAGTTCTTGGCTCCCGGCTTGGGCCTGGCCCAGCCCCAGCTGTTGCAAGCATTTTAGAAGTGAACCAGCAGATAAATGATCTCGCCATCTCTCTCTCTTCCTCTCCCCCACTTGCTCACCCCCTACTCTCTCATGCCCCTTCCCTCCTCACTCTCCCCTGTCCTTCCCCACCCCAACACCCCCCTGGCTTTCATCTCCCACCTTCTCTTCCTTCCTCTCTCACTATTACTTTCAAATAAGTAAATCTTTCTAAAATATTTCTCATAACATTTTAGAAGCATAGGTGTCCATCTCCCCTTCTCGCTATGCTCTCCTACTATTTGGCCTCATGTTATCCTAGTTTCTCAGTACAAGATACAAGCTTTCTGATACTTAAATGTATCATGACTCAAAAAATAAAAACAAAGGTAGAAAACCTAGTGTCATAATGTAAAGCCTATATTTGTTTCATTGGAAGTCCTACTTTTATTTCGGAGTAGACATCTGCATAGTGCCTGTACTTCTCAGTATGCTAATATCCCTTGAGTAGTTCATATATATGTATATAGTACATTGCATATTAGCTGTCTAATACCAGAACATGTGCTATCTGTCCTTCGGGGACTGGCTTCCTTCAATTAACCATAATGCTTTCCAGCCTGGACCATTTTGGTGCAAATGGTAAGATTTCATTCTTTGTGGCTGAGTAGTATTCCACAGAGTAGACGTACCACCGTTTGTTTTATCCATCCCTCTGTTTACGGGCATCTGGGTCGTTTCCATGTCCTAAGTTGTTAAGCTTTGTGCTGCTCTAAGCAGAGAGTTGCAGGTTGCTCTCCTGAATGCAGATTTCATTGCATTTGAATGTATTCCCAGGAGCGGGATGGCTGTATCATATGGCAGATCAGTTTCCAGTTCTCTGAGCACTGTCCATTACTGATGTCCATTACTGCACTAGGCCAATACTGGAGCAGGTGCCTGCTTCTCTTCATCCTTACCAGCAGTCATTGTTTGCTGATTTCTGCATGCTAGCCCTTCTTGCTGGAGTTCAGTGGAACCTCAGTGTGGTCTTGATTTGCATTTCCCTAATAGCTAGGAAACTTGAGCATTTTTTCACATCTGTTAGCCTTTTTAATTTCATCTTCTCAAAAATAGTTGTTCATGTCCCTCATTCATTACTTAACAGTATTGTTTGTTTTGCTGTTGTTGCATTTCTGTCTTTGTAGATCCCTAGATGTTAGTCCCCTATTTTTTGTGTAGTGTGAGGTTTTCTCCCATTCTGTCAGTTGCCTTCTCACTTCATTGACCATTTCCCTTGCCATACAAAATCTTCTCAGATCGACAGAGTCCCATTTGTTTAGTAAGTAAATCTTTTTTTTTTTTTTTTTAATAATAATAAGGGGCAGGGACCCTTCTCCAGGGGCCGGTTATCCCTAAGAGGGTGACGGCTCACTTGGCTGGAGCTGTGGCCATCTGTCCTGGCTGCTGGCTCTTCACCTGCTGTGAAGAGAGCAGGATGTGTCCCCTGTGAGGATGCCCTAACCATTCAGAATACCATCCCCTGCCTGGCTGGCTGCTCCCAGAACAAAGACCCCGCAGGCCTCTGTAGGCCGGGGGCTCTTGCTGCTCTGCCCCGGGGTGCCACTGTCAGTGTGGTTTCTGCTCTCTGAGGTTCAGGTTCACTCCAGGAGCAGACGTCGGCTGGCCACTTGGTGTTGGCCTGCACAATGTGTGGACACCAAGGGGTTCTAGCCAAGAGGTGGCATCACAGGAGGCAGCCCTCAGCATCACCTCCCTACAACTCTACAACCCTACACTGTCCATCATGATCTTCTAGAAGCTTCCTTGGAGGAGAGTGTGGATACAACAGGGGATTTTTTTTTTTCTTACCCACCACTGATACCAGCCTCTTCCAGATTTCCAGCATAATGCAGAAAATCCTTCCCTTTGGTCCACTTGAGGATGTTTTCCTTCTAGGCAGGCAACTCTTTCTGAATACCAAGGGTTTGTGTTTATGTAAGGAGATGAGTTTATACATGTCAAGTTCTGTGACATACAGGGGAATTTCAGAAAGTTCATGGCAACCTAGAATCAGAGATGCCTGCTGAAAAAACTGAAAATCAGCATAGTTCTTTTACAACATGCACTTTTCAGGGTCTTTCAGAGAATCTTTCAAATTCAGGAGCTTTGAACATGTGCAACTTTTTGGTCTCCCACCTCTCCCTCTATTTTCCTACCTTTGACCATACCGGCCACGTTGCTGGGGCGGTAGGGAGCTCTGCTCGCACAGACCTGTGTTTGTGAGGGTGTAGGAGTGCTACCTGTCGGCCTGCTCTGCACTTCCAAGAGGCAATTGGGAAAGGAGCCACTGTGGGCCTGGACATCTACTGAGCAACCCTAAACACACATGCCAGGGACAGATTATATTGAATGCATGATGATGACTGAGTTACAGTGGCACACGGGTGCCCTCTAGGGTTTTGGGTATATCTGAAATATGCAGGCATTTCCAAAAATATATGGGAAAATGAAATTAAAAGAAAAATTAGCTGCTGGACATGTTAAGCCACTACCTGCAGTGCTGGTAACCAACATGGGCACCAGCTCAAGTCCTGGCTACTCCTCTTCCAGCTCAGCTGCCAGCTAATCGTCCTGGTAGAACAATCACAGGACCAACCCAGATGAAGCTTCTGGCTTTGTCCTAACCCAGCCCTGCTCATTGCAGCCTTGTAGGAAGTAAACCAGTGGATGAAAGGTCTCTCACTCTCTCCTTCTGTAACGCTACACTTCAAATAAGTAAATAATGTAGCAGAGCAGGCATTTAGAATAGCAATTAACACAACAGCACACCATTGTTTGGGTTTAATGCACCAGCTCCTGGAAGTCAACAGTGACAGTTCAAGCACTTGGGTTCTTGTACCCAACAGAGAGGGGACCTGGGTTGAATTCCTGGCTCCAGACGTGGCAGTTGTGGGCATTTAAGGAGTGAAACAACCAAAGGAAAGGATCACAGTTGCTGTTTCAACTTATTTTAAATATTTTTTTAAGATTTATTTATTTTTATTGGAAAGTCAGATATATACAGAGAGGAGGAAAGACAGAAAGATCTTCCGTCCATTCATTCACTCCCCAAGTGACCTCAACAGCCAGAGCTGTGCCAGTTCGAAGCTAGGACTTCTTCAGGATCTCCCACGCAGGTGCAGGATCCCAAGGCTTAGGGCCGTCCTTGACTGCTTTCCCAGGCCACAGACAGGGAGCTGGATGGGAAGAAGGGCCGCCAGGACACGAACCAGTGCCCATATGGGGTCCCAGTGTGTGCAGTGCAAGGACTTCAGCTGCTAGGCTACTGCGCTGTTCCCTCATTTAAAATATTTCAGTTCCTTTTTACAGAAAAATATTCATAGTTTTTAATATGAATTTTCTATGAACTTTTTAAAGATCCCTTCTTACTTGACCCAACGTGAATTTGCTCAATGCCTGAATTTTTTTTCATGGCTCTGGCTCCTTTTTGCAGATTTTTCTCTCTGCCTAATTAAGAGGCCTCTGTGACCAGCTGGTCCTGCTGGCAGGGTCCCCGCAGGTAGCCACTCTGCTTCCTTCCAATTTTCTTACAAGCAATTCAGCTGCTTTCCCATGTGTAAGGAAGATGTTCTTTTAAACATATCCTGTTGGAAGCAAACTGAGAAGGAACATTTTATCTTGGGGGAAAAAAAAAGTTTTTTAAATATTCAGAATGATGGGAGAGTTACTGTAGTAAAGTACCAGGTGGGTGCCACCTACAGGCAGCCTGGCCAACCTGCACCTCAGCTGGTCCCAGGAAGTGCCCCAGGACAAGGGCAAGCTCAAGCCTGCCCGCCTGCCCATGCTGCAGGGTGCTGATGGAGAAACCATGAGGTTTTTCACTACAGCGTATAGAGCACTGTGGAGTACAGGACCCAAGTCATACTGTTATGTACGTGTGGTTTTCCTCAAGAAAAAATATGCATGTTGTCTGCCCAACCCCTAATTTGCTTTCATAGTACGTGCTGGTACATACTCTCCCACCAGGGTTTCCTAAAGCCATTTTCTATGGGGAATGATGGCCAATGTGCTGTTTTTATGTGGGAGCAGGAGGGAATGGGCCTTTGGGGTACTGGTTCCCTCCCCGTAACCGTTGGCTCTTAGCTGCGACGGTGCCTCCTGGTTTCAATGTGAGCAAAGGCCCGAGATGGACAGCATTTGTGCTGCTTGTTTGCCTTGAGATTGTTTTTGGTTTTTGTTTTGTTATTTGATTTTTTTTTTTAAGTAACTTAAGATTTCAAAGCTAGCATAAAAGGCGTGAAAGCCTCAAAAGAGAACTTCTGTTGCTCTTTTGTTGCATGTCCTTTTATCCTTGGATACGCAGGGGCACTTCAGACACTTCACAGAAAAGCAGAATTTTAGATGAGTTCCTGTGCTTACTTGCTTGGGTGTCCATAGCCCTGTGCTTTTAAAAAAAAAGTTTGCACTACAGTAAACACGCCTTTTAAGTCCACTTTCCATGAACTTGTTGAAGCATCTAATACACCTAAATGAATATGTCAATCAGTCTTACAGTTTGTGTTTTTTCTTTTTGTACTTTGTTTTTTTTACAAAGATAAAGACCATGGGGGTCCCTAGCTCCTACGCTTTATTTCTTGGGTCCACTGAAGGTCGTTCCGAGCCCTGAGCTGGTTGCTGGAATCACAGGACTGTGCCCAGGCAGGTTGGGGTCCTGGGCCAGCGGGACAGTCACGCAGGTCACCACTGATGCTCCCCCAGCATCCCACATGCCATGGTCAAGTGGCCTTTGCTGCCATTCTTGGGTATTCAGGGGGAATTCCAAAGGAAGGGCAGTCACATAAAGGTGGCATCCAAGGCTGCCTGGGTGGAAGGTCGCCTCCCTACACACTGGGCGATCAACTCAAACTCAGTGCATGTGTCTGAAACCAGGCTCCCCATCCCCAGGCTGCTGTGAAACTTTGGTGATGTTAGGCTGCAGGGAAGTGCTATGGGTCAGAGGCTCAGCCTTCAGCAGCGGGCACGGTGGCTTGGTCATCCGGCCTTGCTGCCAGCTGTTCTCAGTGCGTAAGTCATGTGGCCATTAGAGGTCGGGTCTGAGACTGGGCTGTGCAGCAGCTTGGGGGAGGGGGAGGTTGGGTGGAGCAGCCCCCTGGCTGGACCCCCTGTATACTGTGCCACCTCAGACACAAATGGTAACTGCCCCTGGGGTGCCATGGGGACTGCCTCCAGCAATGTTGGCGGGAAAATGCAATGCTGGAAAGCCCTCAGCTTGGTGCTGGCTCCCTCATAATTGGAAAATCTGCGCAGTACAGTGCTTAGTCTGAGTAACTCATCCAGTTTGTGGACATGGGAAGTGCAGGAGGAAGAAGAAAACACTCTTAAGATTGATGTGACATAAGCAGAACTGAGCCAATACTTGCGCTAGACTCACTCCAGAAGTTCCTCAGCAGAGCCCCCTGCTGCGAGATGCTGTGTGACAGGTTGACAGGGCCTTCAGGCAGACACATCCAGGACAGAGTGGCCCTTGGGAAGCCCTCCTCTGGAGGTCAGGATCTATGCTGTGTGCCTGCCTACAGCCTGTCACGTTGTCTTTCAAATCTACAGCATCTTCGTCCTCATCATTCGTGGCCAGGCTGTACCTCATGTGCCAAATTCAAGGCCCCACCTCCCCATCTCACCAGCTCCCCCACCTGCGTCAGCTTCCTCAGTGCAGAGCAATGGCTCCACAACACATGGCTCCCATCCCATCGCATCTTCTCTTTTCCCCACTCGGCGCTTAAGAGGAAAGCCTCCAGTGCCGAGCTGGGCTTGTCTCACATGGTACCCTCTCACTTCCTCCTCCTACATGAGGGTAACCTACTCGTGGCCCGCCAGGTGCTGGCCATGAGTCAGGAAGCTCTGCCAGAGCTGTGTGCAGAAGCCACAAATACAACAGCCTGGCTAGCTCCCGCAGCATCTGCCACCACGGGGCAGTGGGTGGTGCTCAAGAAAACAAGTGTAGGATTTCTGCTGTTCCCCTCTCCTCCGTTCTTAAAAAAAAACCAAAAGCAAGGCTGGCACTGCAGTGTGGCTGGTGAAGCTACAGCTTGGGAAGCCTGCATGCCACACTGCAGGGCCTGGTTTAAGTCCTCCCTGCTCTGCTTCAAATCCAGCTTCCTGCTGATGCACCTGAGGGGCAGCAAAAGATGGACCAAGTGCTTGAGGTCCAGATGGCATTGCCTAGCTCAAACCCAGGTTGGCATCATTTAGGCAGTGAACTGGCAGATGGAAAATCCCTCTCTGTCTCCGTCTCTTGCTCCTGCTCTGTCTTTCTAGTAGATAAAACTAAATAAAACTTGCCTTTAAATTAAGCAAAAGACAGAACAAGCAAGCATGCACAAGTGTTCTGCCAGCTAGTCTGGGTCACTTAGAGTGTCAAAAGCTGAGCAGTGTGGGATGTGGGTGCTGTGCGATTTGAGAGACAAAGCTTCGAATGTCATTCTGAGTGGGTTTACCTTTTTTTTTGAAAAGTTGGAGCGCTTTTCCAGTTTCTCTCCCATCCCCTCATGTTTTGTTTGCTTTCTTCACACAGGACCTGAGCAGTCACCAGACCTCACCCCTGTCCCCAGGGAGGCCTCTGTAGCCACGGAGCAAGTCAGCCAGCCTGTCTTGCCCGGGAGCTCTGAGCCCGGGTCCTCGGGCAGAGCTGCAGCAAGACTCACCCTGGAGCGTGCCGTGACCCTGGGAGACACGGCAACAGCTCTCCCTGACGCCAGCAAAACTGCAGCTGCTCCAGGAACCATGGGAGCTGCCTTGCCCCCCAGCGCCGGAGACAGGCTGTCCCCAGACCTGGTGACACCACCAGGTAACCACAGCAAGACGACGCTGGGAGCCACAGAATGGCAGGCCCCAGAAGGCTCCCAGGAGGCCGCCAGGCTCCAAGACACAGACTCACTGTCCATGAGGATATGCCAGGCCAGCCCGTGCCTGCCACCACTGCCCCCCAATACGGCCAAAGACCCTGAAGTGTTGGAGAGCAGAGAGAGCCTCATGACGGATATTGACAGATCCAAAGCACCGTCACATTCCTCTCGGACAGGGGAGCCTCAGGGCCTCCAGCCAGCAGGAGCCAGTGCCCAGCACAGCTCTGAGCCGTGCCCCCGGAGGGCCTGGGCTCCCGGGCCAGCCCCTTCCCCGCAGGGAGCTCCCCAGCCCTCGGTCCTGGATGCCATCAACCCTGACAAGCATTTTACTGTGAACAAGAGCTTCTTGAGCAACTACTCGAGAAACTTGAGCAGTTTCCATGACGATAGCCTCTCCCTGTCAGGCCTGGGTGACAGCACAGAGCCATCTCTGTCCTCCATGTATGGGGATGCTGAAGATTCTTCCTCCGACCCCGAGTCGCTCCCCGAGGCCCCACGGGTGGCTAGTGAGGACAGCTGGCCACCACCTCCTTCTCCTCCTTCTCCTCCTTGGCCTCTTCACCAGGAAGAAGCTGAGGAGTCTGAAGAAGAACAAATTGAAATCTGTTCTGCCAGTGGTGCCCTCACAGCACCTACCTCTGCAGCCACACCCTGCCCCACTGTGGCCCGAGTTCTGCCCCTGCAGCCCAGCGTTCTGAGCACGTTGCTGGAAAGCCCACGGGGGAGAGGTTCGCACCCACAAGGTCCCAGCTCTTCCCGGCCCAGTCCCCTCACGGGCGTGAACTCACAGTCACCCAGAGGTGTCACAGATGTAAACACTGCACATGGATCTCCAGAAGTCAGCAGCACAAGCTCGGCCGTGGTGCACGGGCATCTGTGCGACCTCCCCGTCAAGCCCAGTCCCACCAACGTGAATGGTCTGGAACGTGACCTGCCAGGTGACGGGACCCCAGACAGATCAGAACCAAATGTTGGTGGGCCTGAACCTGCCCCTACGGGTGTGGCCATGCCTGAGCAGGGAAGCTCCACCTCTGCAAACAGACATGGACCCGACCTGGCTGGTGACTTCCTGCAGAGAACCAAGCTGACCTGCAGGAAGCCCATCGTGGCCTGGCTGAAAGACATCAATCACAACTACCAAGGTATGCACTTACAGAGCAAGATCAACCAGGAGCCAGCCAGAAGCCCCGAGGCCAAAACTCCAAGTTTCAACCACAGAAAGGGGGCTGCGGTGCCTCCCAGCCCTCCTCCGCCAAAAGCAAACCCGGACAGTAAAGAGCCTTCTAGAAGAGGCTCGGTGGAGATGCTCTTGAACACCTGTCCGAAGCCCAGGTACACACAAAAGCTGAAGAGGTTGGGTGGCAAGAGCAAGGGCAAGGCGGGCCTCGAGGGTGTCGCCACCAGCCCAGCCAAGGATCACACGAGAGCCCTGGTTTCACCCCACGCATCCCACAAGGTGCTTTCCAGAGGATTCAGCCAGCGGCTCCACGCAGCTGACCACCAGGAGCCTGAGCGAAGAGCCACGGCCGTCCCCAAACCTGTGCCAGCTGCCGCTGGGCCCCTGAAGCTCTCCGCATCGGACACAAGCCTCCGAACCTTCGCCTCACCACCCCTGACCTCCTCCAAGACTCTCTCTGAGCAGGGCATGTGTGGTCACTTTCACACGCCCACCCACTCGGACCCCAACAGAGGCTTCCCAGCTGCCCCCAGGTCTCCCAGGTGTGCCTCAGAGGGCAAGGTGCCCCAAGCTGACACCAGGCCAGGCGTGTCCACTGCGAGCATCAACCACAGTCAGCAGCCTGTGTCCAGCCACCTAGACCAGGCCCTGGAAGCCATGCAGCCCAGCACGGCCAGCCATCCCCTGGGAAGCCCCAGCCAGCCAGAAACAGTGGAGATTTCTTCTGGAAGAATGCCAAAGAACACATGTAGAGACAAGCCAGCTGCGAGAGACACCCAGGCAGGGCCCCCAGCCCAGAACGACAGCCAGGACAAGAGTGACACCAGACCCTACCATCAGGTAGGAGACTTACACCCTACCTCTCCCACACCTCACACCTCCCCGGCGGAACAAGAAACACAACGCTCCCTCAAAACGGCCCCATCAGCCTCCCCACACGTGCCTGTGAAGATGGCAGGTTCTTCCGCCCAGGGAAGACCAAGTCATGCAGCAGGCTCCCCAGGGACATCCAACAGCAGCCCCGCGGGCGAATGCCATCCCTACTTCACACCCAGGCCAGCAACCAGAACCTACTCCATGCCAGCACAGTTCTCCAGCCACTTTGGACGGGAGGGCTTGGCACCCAGCCCAGGTCGCCGTCCTGGGGACAGTCAGATCCCTGAGCCCAGGGCAGCCGAAGGCAGAGTGTTCAGCCTCGCTAATGGACAGGGGCTGTGTGGTGTGAAGCCATCCCTGCAGGAAGCGGCCAGGAGGCCCCTGGCAGCAGACGAAGGGGATGCCGGGGGAGGCCACGAGACCAGGTATCATTTAGTGACAGACAAAATCAGAGTCACCAGGAGACAACACTACTATGAACAGATCTGGCCCCAGGAATCTACCTCATTTTTCTCTGTGAAACAGCGAATCAAGTCCTTTGAGAACCTAGCCAACTCTGACCGGCCCACAAGCAGGACTGGGGCATCCCCATTCTTGTCGGTGAGCTCCAAGCCTCCGATTGGGAGGCGCTCTTCCGGCAGCATTGCCCAGGGCAGCGTGGGCCACCCTGGAGACACTGCAGCGGTGAGGTCGCTGAGGCGCAGCCTGAGTTCCTGCAGTGAAAGCCAAAGTGAAGCCAGTGCCCTCCTCGCTCAGATGACCAAGTCCCCGTCCAGCATGACACTGACCGCCCCCAGGCCAACCCCGCCGGAGCCTGACAGCAAGGATGCCAACACAGACCCGAAGCAGTCAGCCAGTCCTGCGGGCATCCCCACCGCCACTGTGACACCAGCCTCACCCATCAAGAGGCACCAGTCCTCCGTGCGCCACGGTCAGCCCTCACCGGTGTCCCGCTCGAAGCTGCAGGAACTGAGAGCCCTAAGTATGCCCGATCTGGACAAGCTGTGTGGCGAGGGATACACAGCAGGACCCAGCCCTGTGCTCTTCAAAACCCAACTGGAGATAGTGCCCAGGAGGGTGCCTGGCACCCCCATTCAAGGCCACTCTGCCTCAGAGGAACCAGCCGCTCTTTCGAATCCCTCCAAGGGTGAGAACAGGGCCTGTCCAGGAGGAAGCAGCCCTATATCCAGGGAGCCTGAGGCACCTGCTTCAGCCAGTGATACAGAGGAGACTACCCCGGACCCACCTTCAGGAAAAAGCTGGTCGGTTCAGTAAGTATCTGCCTGATTTATTCATTACTCATTTATTCAGAAGTGAGATGGGGAACCAGAGGGGCATGGACCAGCTCCCCAGCCCGGTCAGGAACCAGGAATGCAGTTCAGCTACTTGAGCTGCTTCCCAGGGTTGGCACTACCCAGAGGGCTAAAGCCAGGAGCCAGAGGCAGGTCTTAAATTCAGGTACCCAGCACGGGACCTGGGCATTTTAACCAGCATCTTAGCAGTAGGCCAGCCAGCCAGCCAATGACATCCTGTCCCCATGCCCCATTTACTTTCTGTAGCTCTTCAGGTCTCATGAGGTTCTTTGCTCATGCATTTACCTCAGCATCTGACAGGGGCTATTGCCCTTTTGTAAACTTGGATTCTTCTTTATTTGAAAAGCAGAAAGAGACCAAGCTCTCCCATCCACTGGTTCACTTTCCAGATGCCCACAATAGCCAGGGCTGGGCCAGGCTAAAGCTGGGTCTCCCATGTGAATGGCAGAGACTCGATCCTTTGAGCCAACACTGCCTCTGCCCAGGTATGCTTCAGCTTCAGCAGGAAGCTGTGCTTAGGAGCAGAACCAGGACTGGGAACCAGCCACAGCCATGTGGGATGCAGGTGGGCATGAGTGGCACCTTCCATGTTCTCCTCGCCTTTTCATGTGAATGTCTTGCTTCTTTCTGGAATGGTTTTAGATGAACAGGAACTCTGCACAGACAGTGCAGAAGGCCCAGGCACCTCTCACCCAGCTCTTCCAAATGTTAACATCAGCACAATGGGGAGAAGTGGCTGCAGTAAACGGGAAATTTCCCTCATCCTCTCAAACATCTCCGAAGTGTGCTGAACGCCTGCAGGTCCCAACGGCTGGGGCCACAGCAGCCCTTTCCCAGTGGCATCCAGGCTCCTTCCTCTCACGTGGAGTCGGAGTTTTCTGCCTAAGTAGGCACCAGGACCAGGAAACACTTAGAGTGGAAGGAGCACTCTGCAAATCGGGACAAATGGAAAACGTGGGGTTTACTAATGCTCACTCCCTGTGTTTGTGTTACAGTCTGGATCAACTTCACGTGTCACCTGGCGACCAGGAGAGAGTACAGGCTGTCCTGTCTTCAGTGGGGTCAAAGTCCACTGTCCTCTCTCTTCTTCAGGAGGTGGAAGCACACTCACAGGTCAGTGGAATGCTGTGAACACGGGAAGACAGAACTGTGACGGGGTTCATGGCCAGGTGTGTGCCACCGGCTCAGCCAGCCAAGGGGAGACCTCTGGGAGGGCACAGCTCAGACTGTAGCCACAGGTGCTACAGGCCAGGTCTTGCACAGGCAGATGCCCACATAGGGTCCCTGCAGTTTTCATCCCCCAGGAGTAACTGGTTTCTTCTCTCTGCGCCTCATTTGCAGTTAGATTGCACAGGGTCCTCACAGAACTGGGTACCTTGGAAATCCTGGAGAATGACTGAGGGGTCCAGCAAGAACTAGCCAAAGGGAGCCACCTGCTGGTGACAGAGAGCTAGGCGAGGGAAGAATGAATCAGGAGTGTATGAAGCCGAGGGCATGACCAGGCAGCCTAATTAATAAGAGTGAAAAAAGCTTTTTGAAAAACTGGATTCAAGAGTTCAACGAAAATAAAGCCTGGGTCACAGCGTAGGCTACTTCTTTCAAGAACAGTGTCGATTTCTCAGCAGTATCCATAGATCTGGACCCTAACACAAGGGGTTTTAGAGGAAAAAAGCAGACCGGAGAGCACACATGAAGTTTGACTTTTTGTTTATTTAAAAGGCAGAGCAACAGACTCCTGTCTCCCTCCATCAGTTTACTCCCCAATACAGGGGGCTGGTCTAGGCTGAAGGTAGGACTGCTGCTGCTTTCCCAGGTGCTCTAGCAGGTAGCAGCAGCTGGAATGCAGGCAGGCACTCTGATGGAGTTGCAGCCTCTGGCTTAACCCCTGCACCCAAGGTCAGGGCCTCTGACGGCTGTCTTTGCTGGTGACCACGCCAAATACAAGTATCCCTCAGCTAGCACTGCTTCAGCTATGGAGCGCTCACCCAGAGCAGCTGGGAAGCTTCTGCAGCCTGGAAGTTGGGCGTGACACTGCGAAGACAGGGTGGACCCCTGGCCAGTGCCCTGCCGGGCCACACCCTCCATGTCTCAGCCTGCTGCCTTGCATTCCTTCCTATGCCCTTCTTGCTACTGAATGCCCTTGGAGGCACAGGTGCTGGCTCAAGTACCTAAGTTCCTGCCGCCCACATGGAGTGCCCAGAAATGAGTTCCAGGCTGCTGGCCTTCGCCCTAACTGATGCTGAAATCTGGAGAGACACTCTGCCTCTCCTGCTTGGACTCGTAAACAAGCATTTCTGACCTGGAGGTCCCGCTCCAGGACTTCCTGCCATGGTGGTGTGCGTCATGTTTTGGCAGGTCCCTTCTGCTCCCACCACCTTCAGTGTTAGATAAAATGTAAAAGCAGAAAACCAAACATTTCCAGCAAACTTAATATGCACACCACACAGTCAGGGGCTGCAAAGTGGAGACCATTGGCAAGCTGCTGTGGCCACCCAGAGGTCAGCACTGGGCAGGTGCTTTGTTTTATGTCACCTGCCTAGTGGTATGCTGGAGATGTTTGGTGCCACACCTGCTGCCTCCAAGGGTATGGCACAGGAACCAGGGCACAAACCAGCTACTGATACAGGATGTGGATAGCCCAGGCTGTGTCTCGATCACTGTGCCGGTCTCCATTCCTTCGTTCTTACTGCTCTTTGGTTGATTTCAGAAGAGGATGTCTTCTGGCAGTAAGTGTGGTTGGCAGGTGCTAATAATACAAGTGCATGAGAGGGTAGCCATCCGACTTCCATGTGCCCACACCCTGAAGAGTCCGTTCTCTGTGGTTGCTGTGGTGTCCCATGCTGAGCCAAGTTTCCCAGAGGCCAGGTTTGGCCTGACCATCAGCTGCTCATGCACTTGTATCCTCAGACACTAATGGAAGAAAAATAATTTGAGTAAGTTGAAATTAGGTAATAATTTGTTCTGGAATGCATCAGTTCCACTTTTAAATATTCTGTTTCTCTGCTCCCGAAATACCCTTAAATATCTAAGAAATACTCCTATTTCAGCATTAAGGTCACCCCCCTTGCAGGAGCTGGGTGACAATCCCAGACAAGGCAACCTGCATCGTCTTCCATTGTTCCGTACATAAACTCATTTATGAGGGTACTTCAAGAAGTTTCTGGAAAGTAGAAGAAAGTGGAATTAAAAGGTCAGTTTATTCTGGTGCAAGGAACCCTGAAAACAAAAATGCATAAAACTGTGCAATAAGTCCCAAAGGTTTTTGCACCCAAATAGACTTCCTTTAGTTCCACTTTCTATGAACTTTAAGTACCTTTGGATGGTTAGTTGCACCCATGAAAGTCAATTATCTCAAACTCCCAAAGTTCCACATTCATTCTGGTAGTAACATTTGGGATTCTGGTTTGAATGAACTGCTTCAGAGAGCCACAGAATGCCTAAAATTAGTACACATTATTTATGAATAGAATTACCTTTTCCTTTTTTTTTTTTTTAAGGTGCCAGCATAATGGTTGAGCAAGTTAAACCGCCACCTGTAGTGCCAGCATGCCATATGTGTACTAGCTTGAATCAGTCTGCTCTGCTCCTGACCCAGTTCCAATGCACCTGGGAAGGCAGCTCCCGATGACTGAGCACCTGGGCCTCTGCCACTCCTGCGGGCAACCCAAAAGGAGTTCTTGGATCCTGGCTTTGCCTGGTCCAGCTGTAGCTACTGCAGCCATCTGGGGAGAGAAGCAACAAATGGAAGATTCTCTAACTTTGCCTGTTAACCAAGTTAAATTGAAAAAAAATACTGGGTTCTCTCTGCAACTGACAGAGTTGGTTATCCACATTTCAGTCCTTGAGCACTGACAGACTGTAAACCACATGAAACCTAGCAATGCAGACCTTTAAGATGCTGCTGAATCATAGCCGGTGTGTGGGTGAATGAAGAAAGCCAAAGTTCAGAATACTTAGCATAGCTAATTCTTTAAAAGCCTTTGTTCCACAGAATCTTCCCACTGGTGCTTAAGACAGAGGACAGTTTCAGTATTTAACCCTAGGGGACAAGGAAGACTGCTGCACTCCTGTTTCATATGAACATGGAGCAATGGGATGTGAAACACACGGCCTCAGTTCCGTTTGCGGCTGTGGCAAGTGGCTCTGCTAAGTTGTAAAGCAAAGACTCCTTTTGCTCAAATTTCACACCAGACTCAGACAGGACCTGAAGCCTCTGACCATCCAGGGTCACATCCACCTAGCCCGTGGTCCTGCAGCCAATGCAGCCCCTCCAATGAGTCTCTGGAAACTGTGGTTACTGGGATCAGAGGACTTGTGCTACAGCTTCCCTACTCTTAGAAAGAGGAATGTAACTTCTTTTTCTGTTTCTTGTCACTAGAATAAAGAAGACATTTGCTTCATAGCTTTGAATAAAGGCGGCGGCTCAGGTTTAGGATTCAGTGTGGCAGGAGGCACAGGTGTGGAGCCCAACTCAGTCATGGTAAGTGACTATGCCATTGGACTGGCATCCCTGTCAGTTTTTGATTGGGATGCACACTCCTGGGTTTTGCTTCCTGCTCTGTGGAGAAAGTAGTATGCTACATTTTCATTAACAAAGCATTTTTCAAAAAATCTTGAAAATTGGAGTTAGATAAACAGATTTCATCTGCTGGTACGCTTCCCAGATGGCAGTTAATGGCCAGTGGTGAGCCAAGCCACAGCCAGGGGCTCTACTCAGGTCTCCCACATGGGTATTCATGGCCCCAAACACTTGGGCTATAGTCCACTGCTTTTCCCAAGTACATCAGCAGGGAGTCAGACCAGAAATGGAGCAGCCAGGACACAAATCAGTGTGCATATGGGACACTGCAGCCAGAGCCCCAAATAAGCGTTTTAAACACAGGTGATGTGTAGGCTAAATGACATGATAGCCATGTGTCATTTGACAACTAGGCTGTGCTATAAGAAATGCATTACTAGGTGTTTCTCTCATTGTGGCAATGGTGCACTGGCAGAAGGTATGATGTGGCTACAGAGATGTAAAAGCTTTATCACTGAAGGAAACATCACCATGTGACACAGCTATAAATATGGACAGAAGGAGCTACAGCCTTATCTGCCTCAGTATTTTGTTCAAGCAACAGTAAAATCAACAATGAAACCTGTATTTGCTTACAAAGACGGGGAGACAGCACTTCCATCCACTGGTGCACTCCCCAGGTGTAATTCCATGTCCTGCCCTGCATGTCTATTTTTGGTCCTTGGGCCCCTGCACCTATGTGAGTCCTGGATGAAGCTTCTGGCTCCTGCAATTGATGTGGCCCAGCCCAGGTCACTGATGCCACCGTACCAGCAGATGGAAGAGCAGTCTCCTTCCCTCACCTTCTATATAACTGTCTTTAAAGCAATTTTAAAAATACAAAATTTCCTTACGGTGGCCCCTGGCTCTCACTCCTAGGTTCACAGGGTGTTTTCTCAGGGGGCAGCTGCTCAGGAAGGGACCATGAGCCGTGGGGACTTCCTGCTGTCAATCAACGGCACCTCGCTGGCCGGCCTGGCCCATGGAGATGTCTTGAAGATCCTGCACCAGGCACAGCCCCACAGAGACGCCCTGGTGGTCATCCGGAAAGGGAATGAACAGCAGCTCAGGCCCTCCAGTAAGCAGGAGCCTCTCACAGCCAATGGGAAGGCTTTGTCTTCCAACAAGACACTATCCCTGGAGCCTGGACCAGGTAAGAAACTCGTACAGCAGCCTGCACACAGGGCAGGAGATGCTGGCCAACTTCTGGGTCAGGAAAGTTACATACAGCAGCAACACTTACTCTGATTTTGATGTTTATCTTTCCCAAAACACCAGTCTCATGAGGTTGGAGGTCAGGTAGTGCAAATTTCCAGGGACAGGTGGGTGGCAATGTGCCCCTGCCGGTGGCAGCTCATCACATTCGATTCCCCAAGTGTGCCTCCTGTCTTAACTGAAACCGTGCAGGGCTTCACTCAAACCCTCCAGGCACAAAGGCATGCTGTGTGCTCTGGCAAAGGTGGTGGGGACACAGCCAGCAGGGCAGCTTCCGGGTGACCACTGGACGTGAATACTGGCACAGGCACCTAGAGGCGGTGGGTGACAGGCATCTGGGTGGCTCCGGGCAGTGGTGTGACAAGCAGCAATGCTATTTGTGTGCTGACGGGAGCTACTTACAGGGAGAAGCGGAGCTGCACATGGTGCCCTGTGCGTTGAAGTGCTAAAGACCTCGGCGGGCCTGGGACTGAGTGTGGACGGAGGAAGGGCGTCTGTCTTTGGCGACGGGCCTCTGGTCATCAAGAGAGTCTACAAAGGTAAGGTGCTGGACAGCTCTAGCTGCTTCATATTAGACAAGCACATGCTTTTCATGTATTTGTGTGTGTGTGTACATACGCATGGCAACAGCTGCCTGAACTGGCCAGGCCACAGCCAGGAGCCTGGAACTACCCCCAGGTTTCCCACATGTGGCAGCACTCCAAACCCCCAGATCATCCTCTGCTGTTGTGGATACCTCACCTGGGAGCTGGAGCAGAGCAGTGAGGGGACACAGACAGAGCATCACTAACTCGCTGTGTCGCCACACCCACCACCCCAGGAATGCCTTTTTTGGAAACCCAATGTGTTTATTAACCATCTTTACTATCTTTTTTCACGCGTTAACTTGGGCTGTTCCTGGAAGAATGTTGCCAGGTAGGTACACTTAAATCCACCATTTTACAGAAGCAAAGCCTGAGCCACAGAGGAAGGGGGACCCCAGGCCTAAGAGGCAGCCCTCACTGTATTCCTGATGTCACTGCTCTAATGCAGCACACCAGGCTCAGGATTGCCAGCGGACTGGCCGCTCAGGAACACTTAGTGCAAGCTGCAGGCATTGAGAGGGTTGATAAACACGAGGTCTCTAACTGCCCAAGATCACGAGTTCTTTGTAATCTCTTCAGCTTCTTCATTATGTAATATACACAAAATAGTTAATCATACTTACAAGGGGAACAGGAGGCCATTGGTTAAATTCCCCTGAGTAAGCAGTACATCAACAGTTTTTCTCACCTAAGAATTGCAGTTCAATGAGTATACAGTGACCTCACATCACCTTTCTACAATCAGTATTCATTTTAAAAATCATTTTAAATACAAGCATTAGTCCTCTATGGCTCAATTTCTTCTGTAAAACAGGGATGTTAAGGGTACCGACCTGGTTGGGTTGTTCCAGGGATAACCTGTGTAAACAGGGCCAACAGAACACAGATGTGCTGCCTTCTTAGAAACCTCCATGGCTCCGGAGGTTTCAATTAGAAAAGAATGAGGCAGCATTGTGGTGAGGTAAGCTGCTGCCTACCTACACCCGTGGCTTCACTTCTGGTCCAACTCCCTGCTAATCACCCGGGAAGAGCAGGGAAGGTGACCCAAGTGTTTTGGCCCCTGCTAGCTTTGTGGAAGACCCAGATGGAATGAAGCTCCTGACTTCAGTCCTTCTGGCCAACTGGGAATTGAACCAGTAGACGTCTTTGTTTCTCTTCTTTGTAACTTACTCAAATCCTTAAAAAAAGTAAAAATTAAAAGAATATAGATTACCTGATTTGATCAGTGTATGGCATGTGTTGGTTTACACTGTACTCCATAAAACTATATAGTGATTACATGTACATCTAAACAAGTTGTAATTCCTTCACCCTTCAAAGGAAATTTCTTATTTCCCTTCAGTTTGTCCATGATAACAGTGAGCCCTTACCCTTCAAGACCCATATGAGGCAGCAGCCGTGCAGGTTAGGGCAGTCCCTGGTGCAGTTAGTTACATGTTGGGGCTGCTCCTGCCCTCAGGATGCCACAGAACTTTGCAATGCAAACAGATGCAAAGAACTGGAAAACTGTGTTCTTCCTATCTGGAAGAGGGGAAAAAAAAAGTTGGGCACTGTAAATGGCTCACCAAGACTGATGAACTCAGAATCAGCATAGACCAGAAGCAGAAGTAAACACTGTAAAATATCATAATTTCCTAAAGACGCACAGAGTCACTATGCATCAGTTAATGATGAGGGCACTGGCTGTGAATTACATGGCTGGCTGACTTTGTCTTTGTTTTAGTTTTTATGGGGCAACTCAGTAGTGTTTGCACAAACACCCATCTCCAGGGGACACGATCCTAACTGAGCAAGTGCTGCACACGAGGCCCATTAGTGACCATAACACCGCTGTGTGGTGCAAGACTATGAAATGTTTACGACACGGCTCAAACACTATGTAAGCAGATATAAAATATGCAAGTGACCAACTAGAACAGATTTGTACTACACTTCATCGGCAAAGCTTAAGTCCGGAATATACAGAGAACTGTTCTTCAGTAAGAGAAAATGTGTTTAAAGAAATTAAATTAGAAAATGGATGAAAGGTACAAACCTAAATGGCCAATAAATACATGAAAAGATGCTCAACCTTAAGTTAATGAGTAGAAATTACAGTCACTCTTCAGAATCTTCTAATTCATCAAGTTAGTCAAACCCAAGCAATCTCAGGCAGTGGGGTAAGGAAAGCATGAAGACAAACCACTATGCTAATTCAAGTGCAAGCTACGGAGCAATTTGATAAAATATATCATGATATAGCAACCAGATAAATAAATTAGATCTTCATTAACTAGAACCAGTACAACATGATGACTGGAAAGCTCACAAAGATTCTGTGCTTTATGGGAAAAATGGTAAACGTTTCCTGAAGGACCTTAAAATGTCAATGAAATGGAAGGAAGACAACCCTTTTTCAAACCAGGCAGGATTCAGTTTTACCTCATGAATATCAATACAAAATCCTAGAAACAGAGGCTGCAACGCGGCCATGTAGAAGTGCAGAGATTGGCCCCGCCTTTGGCGTGCACAGCACCGTTTCCTGAATGCTTCCCAGCTGCTTCATCTGTTTTTCTCAGGACGTAGTGAGGTGACTCCTCATCACCACTCTGCAGATAGAAATCTGAGATTTAGGTAAATTTCATGCTTGAGACCAAAACGAGTCCAGTTCTCATTCAGTGCACTGCTCACAAACACCATCTCCTATTTGTGTCACAATCCCCATGTCCTCTGACTCCAGTGGACATGCAGAGCACTCCTTGGTTTTATAACCTGCTTGTGGCCATCAGTGAATATTCTAGAAGAGAATACTGGCAACAGAAATATAATTAGTTACACAAGGGTCTTGAGAAAGCAATGCCCAAAACTATCATTCTTTGCTACACAGCTGAGAGATTACCTGCCTCTATAATTAACATTAAATGCTCATGTCCTCTAGTGGGTTGAATCTGGATTTGTATGTTAACCCTTTGGTAGTTATGTAAGTCTTTAAACAATGGCTTTCAGAAATGTAGAATGGATTCGATGCATCTGTTCAGTGTGTTCTGACTTGGGCCTAAGCCCTTTACTTCTGTACTTGGGAATTCTGCTTCCAGTGCTCTCCATGTCTCTACACCCAGTGCATGTCAAGGTGAGTACGTGCAAGCAATGAAGCAGGGCTTAAGCTTGGATTTTCTTCTCAAGTTCATAAATTTGCTATTACCAACGCCGAGCTGTAATGTACAAAGAAGTCACCTCTACACTCAGATAGGCAAGAAATCTCAGAACGTGGATAGTGTCAGCCCACATCTATTAACAGAAACTTAAAACAGCTGAGTAACTTTTGACTTGGCTATTTGGATACTAGCCGTTTTCCTGTGTGCTGCTCTCAGTGACCTGCAGTTCTCCAGGTAGCATTAACCCTGAGTTGATTCAATACACTAAACATCTCTTCCCCTTGTCAACAGCTTCTTGTCTTATGTTTTGGGGGAGGTGGGCTACGGTACAACTTATTTTTGCGGATATAATGTTTCTGTTTCTCCTTTGGGAAATGCTTCCTATCTTAAGAACATTATGTAAACATTTGTGTTTTAGTCTACCCAAAATCTTTCTGAACGTTCTAAAGGCACTAGCCATTTTCTGTGTTGATCTTCACAGGTGGTGCAGCTGAACAAGCTGGGAAAATAGAAGCTGGAGATGAAATTCTGGCTATTAATGGGAAACCTCTGGTCGGGCTGATGCACTTCGATGCCTGGAATATTATGAAGTCTGTCCCGGAAGGACCTGTGCAGCTAGTCATCAGAAAGCACAGGAATTCCTCATGAAGCTGAATGAGAAAACCCTTCCCTCGCTCTCGATTAACCAAATCAGAAAAATGAGCAACGAACACTGAAGCAAAGAACACTGGCATACATGCGAGGGCTATAAAAATATCTACTTACATGGGAAGTATGACCTAAAACAATGAGGTTCAACTCCTCCTGGTCCCCTCTGCCAGGAAGGTCCATTTTGTTCCAGTGCCTATTCCCTACCTTTGTCAGTGGGGACATATGCAATGACACGTCCTTTTTCATCTGAAACACTTAACTAGGCCTTCACATCTCTTGCCACATCTGGAGAAATTTTTATCTATCCTAGTGATTAGGACCCAATGTCTCAGGGGTAACACAATGTCCCAACTAAAAGGACCGTGGTTTCATATAATTTTGTAAGTAAATGACGTAGTGCTTTTTGGCACATTGAGTGGAAGGAGGAGACAGAGTTCTATATATATGTTACCCTGGAAAAAAAAAAATGACTTAAAAGAATGAATTTTGACCTGTTAGGCTGAGCTCAGGAATTATCCCAAACTGAAAAAATAAAATGCAGAAAGTACTATTTTTTAGTGAGTATAATGTATGGATGCAGAGTTCAACTTAAATGGTTACTATAATCACCACGAAGTGCTGGTCATTTTCTACTCTAAAAGGGTAAGTCCTGGTCTGCTTCACAGGATCTATGCTAAAGGACCATGAGCTTCGCTGCTTAGAAGGCACCTGGTTTTCAATCTTGTCTTGAAGTTCAAGATGGGAAAATTTAACAGCAGGCAAAAAAAAAAAAAGTCATTGGGTTTCCACATTTTACACACACCTAAACTACTCAATTCTGGAGTCACTTGGTTAGAGATCCACAGACACTACAATTAGGTATTCTTTTACCACCCAGACACAGCCTACAGTAATAGTTCTGCCGGGGAGGACCCTCTCTGGCGGTTTCTTCCCAGTACCAAATCTGGGCCTGGTAGAGCAGCAGCTCGTCCAGTGACTGGTTGTTGCTGTTCTGCAAGCTCTTCTGCAGAAGGCTGTGTGGGCTTGCAGCCTGTGCCACTCCCGGGGCTGCTGCCAGTCTTGCAGCACACGGCTTCTGTCATGGCCTTCTGGCCACAAGAACTCATCATGACCTGTACCTTATTTTTAGACACTAATTCCAAATCCCCATCACCTTTATTTACTAAGATGTAACAAGGAGAAAAACAGAGCAACACGGCAAGTCTGACAAAATGTAAGAGCAGGGTTATGTAACAGTCCTCAGGTGGCGCCAACCGGGCCACAGGGTTACTGGGAAAATGGGTGTAGCCTGCACCCGCACACCCACGCACATGGTAACTCTGATTTTACCTTGGAAGAGTTCTTGAACCTTCAGCTTGGCTGTGAGATGCCCCAGGGTCACAGAGGTTCTTCAGCTGTCATGTTTGCTAGACTATGTGAGCAGTCCCTGAGATGGCACTGAAGTATCTGGCCTGTGGGGAGCCAGCCATCCCATTTTTCCATAGGCTATACAAAAGAGAATGCAGTACACATTAGCTGGGAAACCTGATTTAGTATCTGCTTTTCACTACAGTTACAGGTAGGACACTCTAGGATGTCAGTGCAAGGTGCATGCTGGTTTGCTTTCTAAGTCTTGGTCAGTTCTGTGGTTTCTGCTTTCTTACCTAAGCGACAGGAGATGCTCTCAAGACAACACCGAAGACCATTTTCTGCTCCACTCCTAGGCTGTGCCTGCCAAGAAAGCGCACAGTCAGTCCTAAATGGACAGCGATTTCTTAAGTAAGTAGGGAGGGGAATAGTCTTCTGAGAGTCCCAGGCCCTTATAGCTCAGGAGGGAGAGGATGGGGCCCCTGGCTTGCTATACTGTTAGAGGCTTCAGCCATTTCTACAGATCTTGCCAGAAGCGTTCTCCAGTCATGAGCTGCAACTTCAGGGAAGAAGCAAAAACTAAACTGTCTTTGACCTTATAATAAAAAGCTATGTATTTGTGCTCAGTGTTAAAGGCATGACTTGTATTTCTAATTAGCCTCATTAAACCCCCCACACCTTCTGAAGTGAACACTAATGGTATTGTCCTATCAAGACTGTCCTTGTTTGAGTTTTGTTAACTGGTCAGTCATTGCAGTGAGCTGTGAGGTAAACTGTTCTGACATGTGAGTCGTAGTTGCAAGCGCACAGCACCAAGGCTGAGGTAGGCTGGGTGTCATTTCCACCTCCCACATGCATCTCGCTGCATTGCACAGTTGACTTAATTGGCACCAACCCTGCTGTATATTATATATCATCCTTTATTTATGTAAAATAAAATGCCTTATCTATTGAAGAGTAAGTGCAATAATATGAAATAGTCTGTACATTTTTAAGATGTTGTCACTGAGTTATGTAAATCCACATCTCTGTAAACAACTTTTTTAAGTAATTTTAAAAAAAATAAATACTCTGCTTACTAGTTTTTTCTTACTCTGTTTATGGGGGTGGAGGGGCAGGGAGTTTGTTAGTCCAGTGGTTAAGATGCCAGTTATGACACCTGTCTTACTTATACTGATGTACCTGCTAATGCTGCATATGTCGGGAGGCGGCAGCTGACCAAGCACTTGGTTCCCTGCCACTCACACGGGAATTTGTTCCTGTCTCTGGTTTCAGCACAGCTGCAGCCTTTGAGGAGCTGGGGAGTAAAAAGATGGGAGAGAGTGCTCACTCTTTTAGATAATTTAACAAATCAAATAGAATGGTAGAAGACAGGTACAAAGGCAACAGAACCCGAGCCACCTGCTCCTTCCATGGCCATATTCAGAATCCTGACACAATCCAAGCCATGCATCTCTTTCGCAACCTGCTGACCTGGTCACTCTCCTGTACTTGGTTTCAGCAAGCCATTGGGTCCCTTGAGAGCTGCCCCTTCACCCCTCCTAGTGTTGCAACCTTGTTCAGTGCAACCAACGGATGAATACATCCAGCCTTTAGGCTCAGCTCCCTTAGCTCTGGCCATTGCTGCTAGTTGGTAAATGAACAAGCATTTGGAAGCTCTCTCCCCCAACTTCCATCATTCAAATAAATAAGTATATTTTTTATAAACTACACTCATAAGTATGGCATATAAGGAGAAGTTTCTCTTTATAGATATTCCTGGTAATGGAGTAAGAAAATATCACCCTTGAACCCCTCCCCCAATACATCACAGGATCTAAGAACTACACAGCAAGATTGTTACTGTCAGAAAAGCTCAGATCTCAGCACTATGGACCTCCTGGCACAGCACGTTACACCACCACCCACAGGGCTGGCATTCCATGTGAGTATTCAAGTGCCAGTTGCTTTATTTCTGATCCAGCTCCCTGCTAATATGCCTGGGAAAGCAGAGCAAGGTGACCCAAGTACTTGGGTTCCTGCCACCCATGGTAAGAGACCCAGATGGGGATCCAGGCTACAGACTGCCACCTGGCCGAGCCCTAGCCATTCACAGTACTTGGAAGGAAGGTCTGTAACCCAATCTTTCGATTTCCACTCTGCCTTTCAAAGAAATAAATCTTTAAAAACAGTAGGCCACACAGCCACCTAGGAAGTAGTGTTACCTGTTATGAGCCAACCTGAATCCGAGAAAGCCTCTGGAACCGATCACTGATTCTCTGGGAAATAAAGAAGTGAGAGGAACACATGACATTACACTGGCAGAAGCAATCAGTAAAATCCAAACTAGAGAACACTTCAGGATAAATGCTCCAAATTTATCGACAAATACCTTGGCAAAGGAAAATCCAGAGAAACCCAAGAGGATGAGCCTATGGATGAAAAGAAGCTGAGACGACAATCAAATGCAAAAACAAAGTGCAGGAAGATGCACGCCAGGGCCAGCTGAGCACTCAGAGAGTAACCACTTCTACCTCCAGGCCTCCGGGAGGGATGTGGGCCTACCTGCCCCAGCATCATTCTCCAACCTGCAGCTCTGTGTGGTTTCTCGTGTGTATTTTAACAATTTCATGAAATGTTATACACAATAACCCTTTTCACCTATTTAATCCTACCTCCCCTAGATAAATACACACATATGTATATATACACCATTTATATATATATATTTATACACACACACACACACAAACTTCTCACTGGCAAGATAATCACTAACCCCATGCTCAGGTAATGTACCTCACTTTTCTTCAAATTAAAGGAAAAGAATAACTTCCCATACACAGCTCCAAAGACTGAGGAAACAAACTGGATTACAGAGATGAGGCTAAGTCCTCGTAAATACATACATACAAAAACCAGTACTCAGGAAAAAAATCTCAAAAAAGATAGGACAATTATACTCAGCTTCTCAGTAATTAAAATAACTTCATTCTCCTCTACCAGAATTCTCAAACACCACAACTGATGACACCTTGTATAATCAGCCAAGAGTGCAGAGAGACCAGCGATCACATTATAGGTCAAAGTGGAAGTGTTAGGAATCAGAAAACAATCTGACCTCATCACCTGCATTTCCAAAGCATATTTGGCCAAATATGTATCATTTAACTCCTCCAACAGAAATAAAAATACAAAGGTTGGGCCTGGCGGCATGGCCTAACTGCTAAAGTCCTCACCTTGAACGCACCGGGATCCCATATGGGTACCAGTTCTAATCCCGGCAGCTCCACTTTCCATCCAGCTCCCTGCTTGTGGCCTGGGAAAGCAGTCAAGGACAGCCCAAAGCCTTGGGACCCTACACCCATGTGGGAGACCTGGAAGAGGTTCCTGGTTCCTGGCTTCAGATCGGCGCAGTATCGGCCGTTGCGCTCACTTGGGGAGTGAATCATCGGACAGAAGATCTTCCTCTCTGTATATCTGACTTTGTAATAAAAATAAATAAATCTTTAAAAAATATATATAAAGGTAGCAGCCGTAACAATGAAAAACTACAGGATGTGGACTGAATCTGGACATTCCTCAGGTTAAGTTCAAGTACACATCAGTGTTTAAATGAGTTATGGCATCATTGTTAAAACAGGCATAAACTACACAACTACATGAGTCTAACTCATTTGGGGCTGAGAAAGCATTGAACCATGTTACCATCAACTTGGCCTCACTGTTAACCCCTGATGAAGGGCACTGGCTTGTTCCGGCTCAGTCTGTGAGGCTCACAGTAGGAAGACCAGGTAGGCCATACCTGTTCGGCTTCTTGTGTCATTGCTGGCAGAATCCCAAAGTGGCACAAAGCATCATGTGGCAAGTGACAGTGACAGCAGTATGTTGTGTTTTTATAAAGCTGCTGGGATTTAATCCTAAAATGCCCACCCCAGTTACTTCTCAAACTCAAACCTGCTTCCCCCACTCCACTCACACTGTAATTGGAGTAAGTTCCCAAACCCTACTCATACCTCTTTAGCACCATCAACCTCCTTAGGAGCCAAGCTTTTACTGTACGGGCCTCTGGGGCACATTCAACATTCAGGCAAACAACTAAACCACAGCACCATCACATGTTCTTCAATCCACACACCAGGAAGTAATGAACACCACCACCACTGTACTGGTGATGTTTAAAAGTATCTGACATTGACTGTGAACTCACAAGACTAGGCATATCGTCCTTGGACTCAAAGGCTGAGAAGTACTGCAAATGCCCTCATTTGTTGATCACAGTAACCTGGATGAAAAGTGTAAAGCAACAGTATTATCTGATGACAAATAAAGTTAGGATGCGGAAGCCAGAGTTAGAAAACAGCAAATTCATAAAGCAAACAGGAGCAATACCCCCAATTCAAATGACTATTAAATTTTTAAGACTTGGAATGTTGCCCACATAACCATTCCAAGATTTCAAAAGCTCTAGAATTTCAAACATTTCTGGTCTCAAGCATTTCCAGTAAGCAAATGTTCAACCTATAACTCACATAAACTCATGACTGGTGAGACCCACGCTCTGGAGAAGGGCAGTTGTGCCTGTAAGCAGTACGTCCTTATCCTCAACAGCCTGGGTGACACTACTTGTTGATCCTGCACTGCCACTCCACCAGGGAGACACCAGCCTCTTTCATTTCATTCAAGGGTTTGCTATGCTTACAGCATTGTACCCACCTGCTCACAAGCAATGAGGATGGTTGCCAGGTGGAAGCAGAGGCCATTGTTCCATCTTGCTTTGGTACTCCAAGGGCTTCCTGGCCATCTGATAACACAATACTGCTTTCTTCCAAAGACACACAGAAGTGATCATTTTTTTTTGTATTCCCCAAAAGAAAAGTCTCTAACAAGCATATATGGTATTAAAGTAGGATGTCCTTTTATGTTTTTATTCCACATCACTATGAGAACTTTTGCATACCTGCTATTCTGCTGTGTACACTAGAAAAAGGATACTCCTCCTACCATCCAAATAACAAAGGAAAAAATTTGAATGCCATCACGGTTGTTCAACCACTTTGGGAGTAAAAGGCCGAAGAATTACTACATAATCTGAGACTAAGTAAATCAAATCAAAATTACTGGGGTTTGGGAAGGTCACGATGTCCCACAGAGGGCAGGTACTTGGCTCGGGGAGTTAAGATGCTGCCTTGTTGCCCACAGCCCATGTCAGAGTGTCTAAATTCAAATCCCAGCTCTGCTTCCAACTCCAACTTTGCACTAATGTATCTCTTCAGAAGCAGAAGTTGATGGCTCCAATACTTGGCTCCACGCCACCCATGTGGGAGAACTGGGTCAGGTTCCTTGGCTCCTGCCTTCATTCCCACCCAGCTCCAGCTGCAGCTGCTGTGGGTATTCGCAAAGTAACGCTGGAGAGAAAGCTCTCTCGGCCTTTCAAATACATAAATAATTTTAATGAGATATAAAACATGTAAGTAGGTACACCGCATACATTTAGTAAACTTCTGCTCTTACTAAACCAGGTCACTTTAGACAACACTCAGACGACAAAGGAGAAAGCTAAAAGACACAGTGACTACCAAATCTTGACACAGCAGCGATGTATACAAAGTCAAATAATTCCTGCTTTTAAAAAGCATGGTGACAAGTCTTCCATAGGAAAGAGCCCTAGGTAACAGCTGCCCCTTCAGATGTACTGTTTTTCTCCAGTAGGAATATGAGAATGGCTAGAAAAATTCAAGAAGTTGCTTGGGACACCCACATGCCATGCTGTATCATTGCGCCTTGATTCCAATCCTGGCCCTGCTTCCTGCTGCAACACGCAGCCTGAGAAGCAGCAGGAAGGCTCCTGGCTACCCACACGTCAGACCTGAACCAAGCTTCTGGGGTTCAGCCTGGCCCAGTCTCAAACACTGAAGACACTTGAAGAATAAACCAGCAGACAGAAACACTCTGTCCTCTCAAATGAATAAAGCAAGCATTTATTAAATAATAAATCTTTACCTTTAAATTTTCACAGAGAAACAGAGGCTAATTTTAATCTAAAAACACTCTTGAAATCTCAGTATTTCTTTTCACAACACACATCTTTTCCATATCTCTTTGAAGACCCCCTTTTATACATACACATGGATTTCAAATTTTTTTGCATCAAAATAAAGCATCTTTTCATTCCATTTTCCATGAACTTTCTGAAGTATGAGCAAAGAAACAAGTTCTGATGTTGAGGATACACACTGTATCGACACACACACAGCAAATTAAGGTGAAGCCCAGCTCCACTGGGACGGGAGCAGCAAGGCCGCCAAGAGCGAAGAACTCGGGAGACCCAGTTTTGCCTCCTAGCTCTTCAACACAGAGATCTGCACCCAATCAACTCCAATACCCTGGTTTCAGTTCATAGTAATACATTTTGTGGGAAGAAATTATTTCTGCATTTAATTATCACTAGTGTCACTTTTGGAAGCAAAGGTGGTTACTTTTAATAGCTAGGAAAGCCTTCTGCGTGCATTACCACAGCTCAGCCCACAGCTGGCTGCCTACTTTGGAGTTCTGCTGGAACACAGCTGGGCTCATTTATTTCTACTACCTATGCCTTCATTCAACAGTCAAGTGGCTTCAGGACACCTTATCTGGCTCATGCGGTCTAGATTTATATGCTGGCTCTTCAAGAAAAGTTCTGCCAAACATGCAATGAAATATTAAGGTAACATACTAAATAAAATCTTGATTTGAAAGAAACAGTGAATACAAAACCACAAATGACATGCTTGCTCTGATTCAGGCACTTTCAAGATCATAGTTTATTTATTACGTCAGATAAAAAGATAGTATACATATTAAGGAATCCCTTCAAATTCAACTCTAGAGTTATACACCATCTAGTACTTTTGCAATGAATGTTAACCGAAAAAATCTTGACACCTGAAAGCCCCACTAGTAACATCAACTATGGAAATACAAAATTTGATATTTGATTTGTTCAATGTATAGTATTTACATTATGAAACCAATGATGGTACAATAAACAGTGATAGAGTAAAAATAAACTTGAAAAAGCAAAGGTTTATAGTCTTACAATGTGCTGATCATCATAATTGCATATAAAAATTAAAACATAGCAGAGCTTTCTGTTACAAAATTCTTAATCATCTGAGCTGTAATCATTACTTGCTAACAATTTACATGCAACATCTGCTAGAACTGACACTCATTTTCTCCCCCAACAAAGTGTGAGTAGATAAATGACATTTCAGAGCAGACATTAATTTACTTGTGGACAGAAAAAAGGGGAAAAATAACTGTACTCAAGATTAGTACTGGTCACAGCCTCTTCCCTACAGAAATTATAAAAGGAGTTAGGACCTCCCAAAAGAAACTGAGAAAGAAGATGCATAGGCAAAAAGTACCATGAATGGCATAACTCAAAAAATCCCAAGACCAATAGGACCCACCTCTTTCTCTCTCCTTCAACGAGAGGTCTACTTACCATCAGAGAGCAGTGCTGAGGCAGGGGAGGGGCACCAGGTGCACAACTAATGAAATCTTACAAATACTGAGATGGGGCAGGGGTAGCCAGAGAAGGGCCAATTTATATCTACTCCAACTAGAACTATATACAGCAGAACTGGAATGCAGCCCATCCCACACTGGCATTGTGAAACAATTGGACCTTTATGATTTAATAGTTAAAATCATAAGTAGTATGATAATACAATAGATTTACATAGGAAGCAAAATCCAAGGGGGACTTTATATTAAGTATTTACTGTGCTGTTTCAATTTAAAAATAATTTTGCAAAGTATACATCTCAACTGAGGTCTATGTATAAAATGTCCTAATAGATACAGATATTTACCTTTGGTGAGTAGAAGGCCGTGCTGTGACTTCTGTGTGAACTGTAGGCAGAGCACTAGATGGACGTGCACATGTGGGCAACTCAAGCTGAGGGAATGCAAGAGCTGTACATGTGAGGAGGCCAGAGGTACTGTGAGAGCCAAAGTACCAGAAACCCAAAACAGGCAGCAGTGAGAACGACAGCAGGGACTGGAATGCCAATGTGGCCGTTGGATGGTTTTAAAACATAAAGAGGAAGGAAGGCCTCTCGTACCAGCAGAATCCTGCATACATACAAAAAAGAAAGTGCCACCCACCATTTCCTAAAACAAAAGCCAGTTAGAGTATGGGAAAGTACAAACTGCAGAAAACCAGAAGTCAATAGAAGAAAAAACTACTGGTTTACATGAAGGAAAGAATGTTCGTTCCACATTGAGCAGTTACTTAGTGAATGCCGCCACCACCGCCCACAGAACCTCGTTGGTGTTGGCCTTCAGACATTCCACTTCTGGGTCTAGATCGAGAAGCTGCCGCACCCTCTTGGTGGCTAAATCATATTGCTCGTCCAGAAGAGGAGCAAAAGCATTCTCCAGGACATCCGAGGCATGGGCTAAGTAAATGAGGGCCAGCAAACGCTTGTCCATGCGATGAGGGTCATTCACCCACTTGTCAAGAACAGCTTCTTGTACCTTCTTAATGAGACGTTGCTTAATGTTGTTGTTGGTGAGTGGATGTGTTGTCATGTCAAAAAGCAGAAAGTTCTGTTTCTCTGTTGTCAATACACCCTTTTCCACCAGGTTTTTAGCTAAACGTTCCCGGACATTTCTTAACTGATAATGCAATTTTAATGGGTTCCAAGTTTCACCTACACAAAAGATGTTTAAAGTTAGATATGATGAGCATGGCCCAATAATTCTGCAAAACTTCACTACAATAAAAGTGAATTTTTCTCCTCCCCAAGTTGAACATGAACCTCTTCAGAATCAGGCCTTCGGCAAAGCAGCCACATTCAGACCAAACTGAAAGCAGTCTCCCACCCAGCATCCTCCCTGGTTAGGGTGCAAAATGAACCAGGTATCAGATTACGCTCTAACTCCCTACACCTAATGCAAAAAGCAGCCCAGGACTAGGGAATCTTTTTTCTGTCAAGAGCCATTTGAATATTTTAAACATCACTCATAAGACATATAAAAATCATCAACTTAAAATTAGCCCGCTATAGATTAGACCACTGACTTTGTGTTTTCTATGTCCTACAGGCCAGGCATTCCCCACCCAACAAAGACAAAGACTACAACTTCCCGATCTGCTATTCCTGAAACTGTCATGTCTATGCAGCCTACGGCAGGAAGCCTTCTTTTAGCCAGTCGAGAATTTGGTAACAAAAATGTTTTTGTAATATTTCTTATTTGAAAGTCAGAGAGTTGCACAGACAGGAGCAGGAGTGACCTTCCATCTGCTGGTTCTCTCTCCAGATGGCCACATGGGTAAGGATGGACCAGGCTGAAGCCAGGAACTTCTTCCTGGTTTTCTACAAAGTTCCCCACAGTCCACTGCTTTTTGCAGGCTATTAGCAGAGAGCTGGACTGGACTCAAACTGATGTACATACGGGGTGCTGGCATCACAAGTGGAGCCTTTACCCACTATGTCACAATGCCAACCCCTCTAATTACAAATTGTAACTTGAACTATCAGATGCAGAAACTAGTATCTGAAGATGAGAACAGCCTAAAGACTGTACGGGCAGTGATCTCTACAGAAGGCATAAAATGATACACCAAGTCATGAGCACTTCCACTTTTTCCTTACTTCAAGAGTTGCACCTATTTACAACTCACTGGGTGGGACACGAAGATTGGTTGCTCCTCACCAGGGTACTGAGGATTTCTCTGCACACCCCTCCTAAAACCATTCACCTAAACTGTTGACATATGTCTTGTTACAGTTTATAGAGCTAGACTACCCGAAAAACAGCCAGGTTCTGCAAAATCAGGCTTCAACACTATGAACTGCTAAATACTAAAATTAAAATAGACATGAGACAGCTGAATAGTAATCTATAGCCATTTTAAGGTGTATAGAACCCAGCTGTATATAAACTAATAATTGTAATGTCAATGTAGAAGTCATAGGATGTGGTTCAGAACTTGTACTCTGTTTTTTGTTGTTGTTGTATTCTCTCTCTCTTTGAACATGCTGGCTACACAATATCATGTCAACTAATTCCAGTACGTTATAAATTGCTACTGATGTAATGTCGGGGCTTTCAATTGATTGGGATAATACTCTTTCGGCTGTACCTTCAGACCAGAGACTGTCTCCCCTTGAAACTGTTGAACTTATCTGCACAATAAGATGCTGGACTCTATGCTTTGTAGATGCTTGCAAGGAAAAAAAATCTCAACTGAATTTGATCTGTGGTAATGCAACAAGATGGAAGAATCCACCATGGGGGGGGGGGAGCAGGTTTTGGGGAGGGGAGGGGGGAATCCCAGTGCCTGTAAAACTGTGTCTCATGATGCAATGTAATTAAAAAAAAAAAAAAAAAAAGAGTTGCACCTGCCGGGACTTCACATGTGGAATGAATGCTGAATCTGTCAGCTGACTGCACATCATGACAGCTCTAACTGGAGAGCTTACCCAAAAGGCCTTGGACACGATCATGGATTCATCTGCACTGGGGATCAGTGGATCATATTCTCTACTTTTAATGAAATAAACCATCATCAAATGGGCCAAGCAGTCTTAAAGATTCCTGCAGGAGGGCCTGGCGGCATGGCCTATCAGCTGAAGTCCTCACCTTGAACACACCGCACCGGTTCTAATCCCAGAAGTTTCACTTCCTATCCAGCTCCCTGCTTGTGGCCTGCAAAAGCAGTCGAAGCTGGCCCAAAACCTTGGGACCCTGCACCCGTGTGGGAGACCTGGAGGAGGTTCCTGGCTCCTGGCTTCGGATCGGCACAGCACCAGCCATTGTGGTCATTTGGCGGGGGGGGGGGTGTGAATCATCGGACAGAAGATTTTCTTCTGTCTCTCCTCCTCTCTGTATATCTGACTTTGTAATGAAAATAAAATAAATCTTTAAAAAAATAACAAATCTTTTAAAAAGATTCCTGCAGGAGAAAACTGCAATGGAAGGCAACACTACTGCCCTGAACATGGGGTGAGTGGGAAGCATTACAAGCTTCTCTTACACTCCAATGTAAAAAAACCTGCTAAGAGCATGATCAGAAAAAAAAAAAAGCCTAAAAATCGGCAAGAAAATCTTGTATATAAGGTATGTTATCAACAAAAAGTGTACACTTACATAAGTGTAAAGTCTCCTTTACGGCCCTGCTTGCTAAGAATGAAGTAAACATATTTTTAAAATAATCTCAAAAGCAAATTATTTTACCAGAGAATGTCCTCATAACAGGACTAATTTAAAAATTGTTTAGAAATGAGAAAAATGACATTTTACTTATCAATTTCTGCATCCAATTACTTTGAAACAATTACTTTAAATAGCAATGTTTGAATACGAGGGAAAAAATGACAACAAACGTATGCAAAAGCTGCTGTACGTGACAGCGGAGAGGAGGAGCAAGACAGCACAGCTTCCCCCTCAAGGAGCTTACACGCCCACGGAACAGCACGGAACCACACGAGCCCTGCCCAGCAGCAGTCTCAGGCCGTCCTCCCAAGAGCGGACTCGGGCTGTACAGCTAAGGGAGCCCACAGGACTTGCTCTGCTCAGCGGGACATGAGCCACCCGAGGCTTCCAAGCCCAACTCCGCAGCCTAGAACCACTGCAGATGCTGCTGCTCCTTACACTGCTGCAGACGGTGAGCCTGACCAGACAAGGGAGGAGGCCACGCTGCGTAAAGCCCCGGGTCCTCGAGGCTGCACACAGCTTCAGTCCGAGAGCAGGTGAAGGAGTTCTGATTCGGAAGGGGGCTCTGAGGAAGAATAACATCTCACTTAGTATTTGCTTAGTCTTGAAGAGCATGAAACTACTCCCAAAGCCATGACTGGGGTTTCTGCCTCTTTTCACTTTAAATGTGGGTATCTTTTACGAATAATCAAAACCAGCAAAAGCCAACATCATCAGGCCAGCATTTTAAAACCAAGAAGACATGAAAAAGAGAGATTTAACCCTACTGTATTTCAACACTGTATTATTCAAGGTTCAACTGAAACTGGAACAGGTTGGCAAGCAGTTGCTACATTTCCTGATGACTCTGGAGAAAAACTTGATTACTAGCAATACACACAAATACTCTGACATTCTGGTGGCAGGTGCAATGCTGGCCCCAGGTAAAACATTGGCAGATGTTCCTTCGGGACTAGGGAGAGGAGCTTCTTCTGGTCCTTACTTAGTTCCAGCTATGGATCCCCACCCTCTCTTGCAATGACCATCAGGATCACCCCGGAGCCCTCCCCGCCAAAAAAAAAAAATAGAACAGAGAGTCAGAGAAATACAAGGAAAGCTTAGAACCAAACAGGAAGCAGTCAGCATGGATCCCCATATACCTTACTAGATAAGACACACCTCACTAGGGTATGGAAGATTTCTCTGCACACCCCTCCTAACACTGTTCTGCACCTCAACTGTTGACAAAGGCCAGGTTAGATTTATAAGCCAGTTTAAGACTATCCTAAAATCCACCAAGTTCAGCAAAATTATGAGTCAACACAATAAACAGCTAAATACTAAAACGAAAACAGACACAAGACAGCTGAATAGTGCCCTATAGCCACTTTAAGGTGTATAGCAGCCGGTCCTCAGTACAAACAAAAATTAAAGTGTCAATCAAGTAATCACAGGAGATAGTTAAGAACTTGTACTATTATAACATATTGATAACTCAATACTATGTCAATTAATTCCATAATGTTGTAAATTGTTGTTGATGTTGTGCTGGGGCTTCTAATTGATTGGGATGATATTCTGGCAGCTCTACCTTCAGATCAGAGATCTCCCCAAGAAACTGTTGAATTTATCTGGACAATAAGATGCTGGACTCTGCTTGGTATATGATTGCAACAAAAGAATCTTGACTTAATTTGAACTGTAATACTGCAACTAGGTGGAGGAATCCACCAAGGGGGGAGGGCACGGGGAGGGGATGGGGGAATCCCAGAGCCTATGAATCTGTGTCACATAATGCAACGTAATAATAAAAAAAAAAAAAAAATTGGCAGATGACATCATGTGTACACATGTAGATCCTAGAGACCAGGAAGCACTTGCTCCAGTTTTTACCAAGTTACTCAGGCACTACAAATATTAGGAGAAAGGTTTGAAGATGAAGTAAAAAGGCCACTGCCCTTTGCCTCTCTTAAAGTGTTTCTCAGTCATGGAAGAACAAGCTGGCTACATTGACTGGTGTTCTTCGGCTAACAGGATGTATCCATTCTCAATAACTTTATAAAGAGATTTCAGTTCAAGAACGGGTCTCAGCAGTTTTTGCTGTAAAGCTCTTTAATAGATAATGAAAAAGAGTGCAGTAGCTCAAGGCTTTGGAAAGTCAGCAGGGACAATGGACTGATGGAGACCTTTCCTGCCAGCAAGCAAAACACTGAATACTTCCAAGTATTTTACTGAAGCAGGCTTCAAGAAACTTTCAGAAACATATTCAGAATCAGCAAACCATAGGAGCTCATAAAGAGCTCCAGAAAGAACTTGAACAGATGTCTCATGATGATCAATTCAAGCATATCATATTATATATCAAGAATGGGATAGAAAAATAAAGCTTCATCATGAAAAATAAAGAATTTTAAATACATACACACAAACAATAGCATCCCAGAACCAGCTGTCATTGGGCTAGTCTGGTCAAGTGTAATGACACCATAGAATGCAACAGGAGAGAGGGGCTTGCAGCAGAGCAAGCCGACAGCTCTTGAGCGCTCCCGACCCGCCTGCTGTCAGCCCGAGCAGACTGTTCGTGGAGATTCAGCAATATGGCTGTGGCAACATTCATCCCATCAAAGTCTTTCAGAACAACTGGCACTTTATAGCGCTTAAGTCCTGAGTGAAGAACTCATTCCAAAGTGGTATAATGACACAAGCGCTGCAAAGAGGGAAAGTGTCTTCCTTTCACAAACAGAAAAAAGATTACAGAATGGCTCAAAAACTAAAGAATAACAAAAATCTGAAGCTGAATTTCCAAACTATTCCCCAGTAAAGCAAAGAGCACTTGTAAATAAACCAGCATGCTTCACATGTCCTGGTTCTCATACCTTCTACCTCCCTACATCAAGCACGATGTAAGGGCTTTCATGACAAATTTCATTTTAATGGTTCCTATGGCTACTGGAAATGCTGGGTTTACTCACTAAAACCATGTTTTAAGTAGCTATACAGTTTAATCTTCTCAGCTATCTTCTACCTCCTGTATTTTCTACTGTAATACTGTAATTAAAGGCTTTCCACAATTAACAACTCACTTTATTCCCTGGGTCTTTTACAAAAAGTTATCAATATGATCTGGTTAGCAACTTATAAAAATTCTGTTTGCTGAGCCCAGCAGAGTAGCCTAGTGGCTAAAGTTCTCACCTTGCATGCACCAGAATCCCACATGGGCACTGGTTCATATCCCAGATGTTCCAATTCCCATCCAACTCACTGCTTGTGGCCTGAGAAAAAAGTAGAGGATGGCCCAAAGCCTTGGGACCCTGCACCCACGTGGGAGACCTAGAGGAGGCTCCTGGCTCCTGGCTTCAGATCGGCTAAGCTCCAGCTATTGCAGCCACTTGCGGAGTCAATCAGCGGATGCAAGTTCTTCCCTCTGTCTCTCCTTCTCTTTAAATCGGACTTTCCAAAAAAATAGATTTTAAAAGAAAAAAAAAAATTCTCCTTGCCAATTAAACCATAACAACTCCCAAAGTCTCAAAAGGCAACAATTTTTTGTGATAATTTGGACTGCCCAGAGCCCTATTTGTCAATCATCTCATGCACTTAACTGAATTTTGACATGAGTGTTTGCATGTTTCCTTGCAGTTAAATCCTAAATGCCCTTAAACTCAACTGTTTGCTGTTGGCTTACATCTTTCATGAAGGCATAGAAAACTAATTTGAGAAGTATGAGATCATATGTGGTAATGAGCGGTGAGAAGAAATATGTGTTTTTTTCATCTTGGGAAACTTCTGCATTCAGCTTGTATCTTTACAGGCAAAACAATCTTTTCATAAACAGTTTTCAAAGTATCTTGTATAATAAGGCTGGCTGTCTAAAATATTCTATGCTCAGAATACACTTAGATTGATCGGTAAGGACTTACAAAGTTTATGAGCAAATTAAATAATTAATGTGGGCCTGGAGTGACAGCCGAGGGGCTAAACCCTTGCCTTGCATGCACAGGGATCCCATACAGGCACCAGTTTGTGCCCTGGCTGCTCCACTTCCCATCCAGTTCCCTGCTTGCGGCCTGGGAAGGCAATAAAGGCTGTCCCAAAGCCTAAGGACCCTGGACCCATGTAAGAGACCTGGAAGAAGCTCCTGGCTTTGGACTAGCTCATCTCCAGCCGTTGTAGCCACTTTTGGAGTGAGCTAGCAGACAGAAGATCTTTCTCTCTCTCCTCTCTCTAAATCTGACTTTCCAATAACAATAAATAAATCTTTAAAAAAAGAAAAGATTGATGCACTAAACTCAGTGAAGATATTAAAGCTCAGTATGGTTGATTTGGGGATCCAGATATAGTAAACATTTCCCACTGGTTTACAGTATTGATTTATAAAGAATGAGCGCAATGACTATCCTGTACTCCCATCTGGTTGTATCAGACCAGCTTCATTTTTTTAACATATTTAGAGATTGCTCAAGCATATGGCTAGTCACATACCCCAGTTTTTAATTGCCATGAGCTAAATATTCCATAGAGCCAATTGTTTTAATGGCTACCTTTTAATTACCTTTCTTTTCTTGCAGTATGTACTCATTAGGGAAAGAAATGTAGTGATTTTTCCTTCTTTGGTGGAAAATTGGTATAACACACTAATATGGGTTGAAGCCACCAGAGGCTGAGTGCAGAGAGCCCCTCTGAAAGGTGTCGTTATCAAGAACCAAGAATTTGGTGTTTAAAATTAAGTTCATCTTGAAGAACATGTAATGTAATATGAAATAAAGTGCCAAGGACTTTAAGAGCATGATTAACGGATACCACTGTGAATGGGTGAAGTTGTTCAATGAGTAACTTCCATAGTTGTGTGCAGAGGCAAAACATTCACTGGATTTTTAGCAAAGCAATTTGCTTTTCTCCCATCCGAGCACTAACCAGGCCCGACCCTGCTTAGCTTCCAAGATCAGACAAGATCAGGCACGTTCAGGGTGGTATGGCCGTAGACCAACCTGCTTTTCTAATCACAGTCCTCAAAGGGCTATTTTCTTAAAGTTGATCCTTATACTTTTAAAAAAAAAGCCATTGTTTCTCCTTGTCACTACTGTCACCTTTAAGTCTGCCTAAATAACTAAACAAGCTTTCTGGTTGTTTTGTAACAAAATCTTTCAAACAGAATTTGCCTTTTGGTTTACACACAGCAGCTTACCACTAAGCAATTCAATCCAGTTCTGGACGGTTTCCGGAGGCTGCGTCTCCTTGACGTGCTTCAGGGCTTCGTCCAGGAGCACATCCCCCGTGGGAGCATCCGATTTACAGATCACCTACAACAGAAGCAACAACAACCAAATGACCCACTGATGCCTACCTGGCTTCTGTGAGCTTTTTCCCCTCAAAAGATTTTCTTATTTATTTGAGAGGCAGAGCAACAGGTAGAGTCACAGTTCAAGACTTCCCTTGACTGGTTCACCCTGCAGAAGGCCAAAACAGGCAGGTCTGGGACAAGCCAAAGCCAGGTGTCTGAAAATCCATTCTAGTGTGTCATATGTAGAGAGACCCAAGCACTTGGACGTTGTTCCACTGCTCTTCAAGGAGTATCAGCAGAGAGCTGGATCAGAAGTGCGGCAGCTGGGATTCAATCCAGTGTCCGTGTGGGGTTCCAGCACCACAGGCGGCGGCTTGACTTACCAAGCAACAATGGCATCCTCAACACCTGCTCTGACTCAACCACTATGCACATAAAACTTGGTCAAGTGCTCATGCAATAACAAAGCTTGTATTTCAAATAATTCTACAATAAGAAAATCCAATAGTTAATCTAGCTAAATCGACTACAATCAAGAATAAAAATGAAACTGCAACAACTGCAGTTCACTAAAATTTTGTTCATTGTTGAACCTTTGACTAGATGCTCCAAAAACCAATTTTAAATCAGTCCCAGAAACAAATGCAAATATCTGAATTTATACATAAAAGTGAAATTTAACAGCTATATTTTTTATTTAAGATTTTTTATTATTATTATTGAAAAGGCAGATTTACAAAGCTTTGTCCACTGGTTCACCCCCCAAGTGGTCGCAACAGCCAGAGCTGAGTCAATCTGAAAGCAGGAGCCAGGATTCTCCTCCAGGTCTCTCACATAGGTGCAGGATCCCAAAGCCTTGGGCTATCCTCTACAGCTTTCCAAGGCCACAAGCAGGGAGCTGGATGGGAAGTGGAGCTGCCGGGATGAGAACCGGCACCCATATGGGTCTCCCACAGTAGGTGCAGAGGCCCAATGACTTGGACCATCCTCCACCGTTTTTTCCAGGCCATTGGTACTGAGCTAGATCAGGAAGTGAAGTAGCCAAGACACAAACCAGTGTCCAAATGGGATGCTGGCTCCAGCAGGTACAAGGCTAGCCTATTACACTACCACACTCACCCCAGCATTATACCTTTAAGTAACTTTAATAAAAACAGGAAAGAGCTTATGGTATTCAAAAAACATGAGTGCCACAATAAAAACCCAACAGGAGAGTTAGAAGGTAAAAGTCGCCAGCAAGTCCACATCTCATTTAAAATTTCTACAAAAATAGAAGCCAGAAATCAGCAGGACTGGGAAAAATATTCCAAAGCCAAAGAATCCATGCATAGTGAATTTTAAAAATCCCCCACATCAGGCACATAATTTGATTTCAAAACACCAGGGGTAACAGAAGATCCCAAATATTTCTAGAGAAGAAAAATAAACACCAGACAAGGAAGAAAATTCAGGAGGCAAACAGCAACTCTATGTGTCAGGTGACAAAGAAAGGTCTTCAAACTTCTGCAGGAAAGTAACACCAACACTCTATTCTCAACAAACTCTCAAAGAAAAGTGACAGACAAGAAAGGGGTTTCCAGACATGTAGAATGTCAAAGAACAGTCTGTTCTCCCCTCCCCCGCAAAAAAGGTGGAAACAATGTGAAAGCCAAGAAACAGGGCTGAAGTCAATAAAAATGTGATAGGAAGTTGTGCGATGAAGCTGTGCAGAGTTGACTCCCACTGGCACCGAGTGTGAGACAGTCAACACTTGTAAATGCTCAGATAGTAAGAGTAACTTTAATGGAGTATTTAACAAAAGAGACATACAACATTAATAGAGGTGAGAGGGAAAAGATCATGATTTACTGACTCCAGAGAAAATAAGAAACCTTGCCAAGACAGAAAATGTCACGGGATGTAACTGTGGAAAATACCTTAACAGTTTTATAACAATAAGCCATCACCTTCACAGTAAGAGTAAGGAGAGAGGCTGGATTGTGGCATGAATACGTCGCTTCGTATCCACTTCCCTGCTAACAGCCTGGATAACAGCAGAGGATGGCCATGGGCCTTAGACCTCTGCACCCACAGGAGAGACCAGGAAGAGGCTCCTGGCTCTGGCTTTGAACAGGCCCAGCTCTGGCTGTGGCAGCCATTTGTGCAGTGAACCAGCAAAAGACCTTTCTGTCCCTCCTCTCTGTAAGTCTGCCTTTCCAATAAAAAACAAAACAAAACAAAAAAAAAAAACTGATATATATCAGTTTTGATCTAAAACCTTTGGATTCATTAGGGAAAAAATAACTCTGAAACACAATGTACTTCGGAAACACAAAGACAGATCAAAAGAGAAAATCTTGAATATGTGAGGTTGTAATTAAAAATTCTGAAACACTGGCCAATAATACCTTATCAGAGAAATGCCAACACAGGCCTTTAACAGGGACAAGACAGATCCAAAAATATTCACAGTCTACGGAAAAGCTCTGCATCCAGGACCAATATCACGAGTGGCACAGGAGATCAAGTCACCACTTGTAATGCCAGCGTCCAATACTGCTTTGCTGAACTGTATCCTAGCTGCTCCACTTCTGACTCCACTCCCTGATAACATGCCTGGGAGAGCAGCAAAGGACGATCCAAGCACCTGGGACCCGGCCACCCACGTGGGAAACCCAGAAGGAGCATCGAATCTACTGCTTTAAGTAAAACTTTAAAAAATCAGTAACCTATGAATGGTAAATTTGCAGCATATTGTTTCCAAGTTGTTTCTTTGACATTATGTCAGGCTTCAAAAATGAGTTTTTAGAAAAGTTAGGAATGTTTAAAGAAAAAGTTGGGAATGTTTTTGAATGTGTAGAGGCAGTGACTATTATTGTTAACAATTACACAGTTCATTGTACAAAGAACCAGGAAACCAAGAATGCAAAAAACACATGAAAATGTATTGCAATAGACAACTTTAAAAGCAACCTCCATATTTAGAGCAGAAATGTTCTTCACTTTAAGCAGTACAAAGTCTTCAGGGTGTGTGTCACTCAGCATTCCTCTTACCTTTCTTGTTAATAGACTTTTACGTCTCATTCCACAAGCCTCTAGTTGCAACCTTCCTCTCAAGGCTAATTCAATTAACATACAGCCACGTAATCCAGATGATATACAGTCATTCCAAAAGGATGTGTAGCCCTGTTAAACAAAGAGAGAGAATAGCTAGTTTATCTTGAATTCATCGTCAAAATCAGAAGTATCTTTAGTAAAAGTCATTTTTAATGCTTTTGCTTATCTTTCCAAAATTAAATACTGGAAAAAATACAGTAGGTGTACATTATTACTCCAGGACTGGCAGCAGGCTTTTCAGCACACATCCCCACACGCTGACTAACCATAGCTGGGGGGCTGGAGGTTTGGAAGCATAGCTCATACTCTACTAAGCAATGTGTCTATCAGGCCCTTTCAAACATTCATGAACACACAGCTTACTTCAGAGCAAAACAACAACAACTACTACTACTATTATTATTATTATGTGGACAAGAAGCTTAGCAAAACAAATAGCCATGTGAGTTCCACGGACAATTAGAACATCAATGTTTCATTAATATTTAGGATAAAAGCACAAGGTTAACTTTGGAATTCACTAGAATACATGTGTGGGTCCATGAACAAAACTGGCTAAACATCTTTAATTTTGAGTAGCAAATATTGAAAGGATCCAACAGGTCTCCAAAGAAAGAATGCAAGGGCAATATCCAAGGGAGAACACCCAGTCACAGAAAGGTGGGTGGACATCTAGCGACCTGAAGATACTGATCGAACACTCATCAGCAGATGAGGTCAGGGCACTCTGCAAGCAAGTACCATTACAAGTATCCTCATTACAAACCCATAAACCTTGCCAACAAGATTGCCAGCTACCAGTTTAAGATAGCTGGTGTTAGCACTGTGGCATAGCAGGTCAGCTCCCACCAGCAACACCAGCATCAAATTACAGGGGCTGGTTCGAATCACGGTTGCTCTCCTTCTGATCCAGTTCTGCCTACGTTCCTGGGAAGGCAATGGAAGAAAGCTCCCACTCTCTCACTCTGTCTGTCTCTTCTTCTCTGTGGAACTAGCCCTTTCAAATAAATAAATCTTTAGAAAACAATTTTGAAATATATATATATCCAGAAAGACTGCCAGATAAAAAATTGAGACATTCTGCTCAAGAGGAAACCTTTTTTTTCCACTCCTGAGAAAATAACTTGAGAAGCTCAAGGGGATAAACAAAAAATAGCAGTCTAAAAATGCCAATTAAAACGTGAAGTAGATGAACACAAACACGGGTTTGAAAGAACCCTTTAAAAGTTTTAAATACTACATGTACAGGCAGTTACAGCACCTCTCCTGAACGCAGTAGCCTTGTGCCTAAAGTTCTTGCCTCACATGCACTAGGATCTCATATGGGCACTGGTTCAGGCCCCAGCAGCCCCGCTTCCCATCCAGCTCCCTGCTTGTGGCCTTAGAAAGCAGTTGAGGATGGCCCAAAGCCTTGGGACCTTGTACCCGTATGGAAGACCTGGAAGAATCTCCTCGTTCCTGGCTTCAGATCAGTTCATCTCTGGCCATTGTGACCTCTCTCTCTTCCTCTCTGTATATCTGACTTTCCAATAAAAATTAAGTTTAGCAAAATTTCTGAAGTAATCTCATTTCTTTCATTCCAATGCCTAAAACTGGAGCACATTTCTCACCAGACGGCACCTTAAAAGAGATATATATCTCACAGTTATTGATCTAAACTAAACACCTGGAGGGGAGAAGAGCCCTATGGTGTACATGTCACAACTGCAGAGCAGTAAAGGAAAAGAGGAGTCCAACTGTCAGTTACTGGAGAACACGTGGTGACTGCATATCCAGATATAGGCACGCCACCAATGAGGACAATTTACAAGGACAGGTCAGAAACAACCACAGCGCATAAAGGACTGTGGAGAAACCACTACTCAAACAAATTACAAGCGCTTGCAGCGTGGGTAGGATGGATATAGTCAAGGTATAAGTGTGTCTATGTCCCAGCAAATGCACAATCAAGTAGACAAGCCAGCCACATAAACATAATTAAAACATGCGGAGAAGACAGTAAAAAACTGGCGATAGTAAGCAGCTTATTTGGCATGAGCAGATGCATGTGCAGCCACACTGTAGAGGGATAAAGAAGCAATCAACTACTCGGGTATGGTACACACCTCTTGTATCTGGAAGTCAGAGTAGTAGTGTTCAAAGTGAGAATGCCAGAGGATCATCAACTGGCTGACGACAGCAGCCACCGCACAGGAAGTCCCACAGCCCACAGATCCAGGGGCCCTCACAGTAGACACAAGCACAGGGACGGCAGAGGACCACAGAACTATCCTGAGCTCTCTAAAAGTTCAAGACTGGGATCCGAAATCCGCTTCAATGATATAAATCCTATCAAGGTCAAGGGCTGCTGTCTCAGGTGAAGCTGGGCCAGGTACCAGAGCCCAGGGGTTCATCAGTTTCACAGTCCAGGGACCATGGTTCACCGATCATTAGTTTCACAGAGGGCAATGGGATCGAGGAAACCTCCAACAGATACCACGTGAAGGTAATGCTGGGTGCAGCTCACCACGCCTCCAACAAATGTGAAAGAACAGAGAGGGATTTGCTAGGAACTCACAATTACTCGACTTGCCATTTAATAATGATCCATTTTCGTATTTAGTAACTACTAGTTAGCAGATGCAGACAGACCTTCCCAATGGAGTGCCAGCTAAGCTCAAAGAGCCCTACTTCGTCCGCTGCTATTCTGAGTCCCCCACATCAGAGACCCAAGACAAGCAACCAGCAGCTAGGGCTAACCTCATGGGGTTTACCAGGAAACAACAGGACACCCAGAAGCAAGGAGGCCATAAAAAGCAGGTACAGCAACAAGGGAGGCAACGAACCAGGGGGCATGCTCTGCATTAGGGGCACAGACCTTGGAAAATCCACCCTTCACTGCACATCTTAGCAATAACCCCAACCCAGCTTTTTCTCAGTGGTAAGACTGATATTTACTTTGATCTCCACTGGTCTAAGTTCCTATTTTCTCTCAAGTGGTTCAACATGGAAGAGAGAAATGGCTCCTGCTTCTCGGATGCCCAGCAGAAGCACTGAAGGGGTTCTCCTCAGCAGTCAAGAGCCAATGAGCTGCTCACTAAGCGCCTTCCCAGAAGCTTGCTGGGATGGCCCACTGGTATTCACACGCTCCTTAACTCCCGCCCCTGTGTGTGGCCTAGAATGATTGCAGACAGACACGACAAACAGGGCACGGCACGGACTAGCCAGCTCTACCACATGTAGTTCAGCGGCCCTGAGTCCCTGCAGGAAACCCAACACTCACGCACCTGAGCCTTCAGAGGAGACGGCACCTCTGACCAACAGCTCCAGTGTAACCTCATGCACACTGTGCACAGGTATCCAAGCACCACTCAGAAACCTAATCACAGAAACGAGGAGACAATGGAGGCTTACTGCTCACCGCTGTTAGCGCCTGTTACAGCTCAGAACACTTAACACAGAGGATGTCCAGGGTTTGAAGAACAGAGACAAGAGAAGTAACAGCTAGAGGCTATGAGGCTTCTGGAGGTGAGGAGAGGTGCTGTAACTGCATGTATATGTAGTATATTCTGGAACTACAGAGGAGCAGTGCTACAGCACAGCTTGTTAAACCACCACCTGCAGCACTGGCATCCCACGCCCACATACTGGTTGGAGTGCTTCCTGCGCCTGGGAAAGCCACAGGGGATGGCCCCTGCACCTGCATGGGAGACCAGAGGAAGCTCCTGGCTTTGCCTGGCCCAGCCCTGGCTGTTGTAACCATTTCAGGAGTGAAACAGAAAATGAAAGATGTCATTCCTCGGACTCTTGACTTTCAAGTAAATAAATCTTTATATTTCAATAAAATTCTTGAGTTATACACTTTGGAAGGGTACACTGAATCAAACGTGGATTTATCTCAAAGCTGCTACCAAAAAAAAAGATACTTAATACTTTTTTTTTTTTGTAAACTCTAACAAATTCTTCAAATTTTCAAAAAAAAATTGTGGAGTGGAAAAGTTTTTGGCAGAAATAACTACAACAGAATGAAGGTGTCTACAGGTAAAGAGTCAAAACATCAGGCAAGAGGAAGCAAAGCAAAACATGTGAACTAGAAAATAAGCAAAACCGTCTACACGTGCAGGTAATGAAACTGGTTACCCAGAAAAATATTATAAACAATGAGGAAATTAAATAAAATAGCAAGATTGCAAAATTAACTGACATCAGCAGCGATCATATACAAATATATAAATTGAGAATGCAGGATTTCATTTGCTACAGCAATAAAACAAATAGACAAAATTCTATAAGAAAACTTTAGAACAATCAGACAGTCATGAACAATGGGAAAAATCTCACTCTTGGGCAAACAAAAATTATGGTTTCCCCTACCTTATAAATGTAATAGGATTCCAATAAAAACATTATTACCCCAGAGTTATCCAAGTTAAAAATAAAATTCCTCAAGCAAAACAGAAAAGGGATATAGCCAGGAAAAATGGGGAAGTGGAAAGAAGTATGGACAGAAATGCATGCTGTCCCACAAAATACTAAAATAGATTCTAAATGTCTTCATGTCACAGGTATATAAACATACAAACCAATGGAATCAGAGAACCCTAAAACGAATTCACATATTCTTAACCAAATGAATTCCAACAAAGATAAAAGAACACAACACTGGATAAAAGACAGTTTAGTCAATAAATGGTGCAGTGGGGATTTGTGGATCTGGGGGTTAACTGTCACCTGTAACACCAACCCCTTTAGGTGCCAGTTCAAGTCCTGGTTACTCCACCTTCGACCAGCTCCAGGTTATTGCGCCTGGGATAGCAGGGGAAGATGACCCACGTGCTTGAGCCCTACCCACATGGGAGACCCAGGTGGAGCTCCATGTTCCTGGCCAACCCAGGCCCAGCCACTGCAGCCATTTAGGGACTGAATTAGCAGAACAAGATCCCTCAAATGTCTCTCCCACTAACTCTGCCTTTCAAATAAACAAACAAATGGTGCCTGGAATATAAAAGCCCATATGCACAAAAAAAGAAATTAGATCTCTTGTACTGCATACATAAAAAATGGAAAGACTTACCAATGAAACTTAAACT